ATCAAATAAATAAATAGTTTTGAACCAAAACAGTTTTTGTGATATTGGTAATCCATCTAAAATATACCACATAACCCAGTTTACCATTTAACAAATTATTCTCAAGGTCTGCACAGCACTCACGTGGGGACAATGTTAGTGAAGGCCTACACCGTTTTACAAGTCTCCCCACTGTGCTGGCCAGTGTGGCTCAGCTGACTGGAGGATCATCCAGTAACGGAGGGTGCGGTCCGTACACGAGGCAACTGTTCGCTATTTCCCTCCCTTCCTCTCTAAAGTCAGTAAGAAATAAAACCGTATCCTCGGGTGAGGGTTAAGAAAAAAGAGTCTCCCCACTATCTAACCCACTTTTTTTAGAGTACCTTCTTCCTTTGAGAAGAGCAAAGAGCCGAGACCGGTTTGGCTCAATGGAAAGAGCGTCGGCTTGGGGACTGAAGGGACCCGGGTTCGATTCCGGTCAAGGGCATGTACCTTGGTTGCGGGCATATCCCCGGTAGGGGGTGTGCAAGAGGCAGCTGATCGATGACTCTCTCTCATCGATGTTTCTAACTCTCTATCTCTCTCACTTCCACTCTGTACAAAATCAATAAAATATATAATAAAAAAAAAAAAAAAAAAAAAAGAGAAGAGCAAAGACCCACAGAGGCAGCAATGGAATGGAAAGACTCTCTATTGCTGATTTACACCAATAGTATTCTTGCCTTTAACTTTCCCGTTCAGATCTCTTGGTGCGTTAACTCAAGTTAAAGTATCGGGTCTAGTAATAATTAATGTCGTTTTAAACATTCGTTTAAAATCTTGCTTGGCGTTGACTTGTATTGACATAACCTTCAAACACGTGGTATCTACAGAACGTGTGAAGTGCAATTAACAAGTTTTGCTTGAAAAAGTTTGTGTTTGGTTTGGTTTTTGTTGCAAAACTAGGGCTAAGAAGATGGCGGATGAAGAGCATATTGGGCACTGCATGCTTTACGAGTTCCAATTAGGAAGAAAAGCAAGTGAGGCTGCAAAAAACATCTGTAGTGCTCTTGGTCAAGATGCAGTTAGCGCCAGAAAATGCCAGCGTTGGTTTGAGAAATTTCGCGAGGGAAATTTTTCGTTAGATGACAAGAGTGGTCGAGGCCGTGTGTCCAATTTTGATCAAGAAGCTCTTCAAGCTCTTTTGGTGCAAAATCCTCAAATTACCCAACAAGAGCTTGCGACAACTTTCAATTGTTCACAAAAAACAATTTCCAATCAATTGCGTGCACTTGGCAAAGTCCAAAAGTTTGGAAAATGGGTTCCTCATGAGTTGACCGACAACAACCGTAATCAAAGAGTCACAATTTGCAGTTCGCTCCTCTCTCGTCAAAACCGTTTGCCGTTTTTAGAGCAAATTGTTACCGGAGATGAAAAATGGGTGCTGTATGTTAATTTGAAAAGGCGGCCTCAATGGTTGGACAAAAATGAGACGCCAAAACCTGACTTGCATGCGAAAAAAGTGATGATGTGTGTTTGGTGGAATTTTAAAGGAATTCTTCATTATGAACTTTTACCATCTAACCAAACCATTACAAGTGCAGTGTATAGTGCCCAATTGGAAAGGTTAGCCCAAGCTTGAAGAGAAAAAGAACCCGCGCTGATTAATCGGAAGGGCGTAATTCTTCACCACGATAACGCACGACCGCATCCTGCAAGAATCACTGCTGAAAAACTGCGCCAGTTGGAATGGGAAGTTCTCCCTCAACCTGCATATTCTCCTGATATTGCCCCTTCCGATTACCATTTGTTTTGTTCTTTGCAAAACTTTCCTCTTGGAAAAAAATTTAATAATGAAGAATGCCTCAAAAATGCATTGACCAAATTTTTTGCATCAAAATCACAAGAATTTTACAACAGAGGGATTAAAATGCTTCTTGAGCGTTGGGCACAAGTAGTAGAAAACAACGGCAACTATATTGTTGATTAAATTTTGTTGTATTGTTTAAATATATTCGATTTTAAAAAGTATTAGAAAACGACATTATTACTAGACCTAATATATCGCATTTTGCTAATAATCTGTACAAACTGAAGTGCTTGCCAGGTTCTAACTCACTTTTACTTTAGCATCTAAGGAAATTAACCATGTTCAAACAATTTATGTCATTAACATGTTGAATGGAAATGAAATAAAAGTCAAATTGTTGCCGAAGCCGGTTTGGCTCAATGGATAGAGCGTCAGCTTGGGGACTGAAGGGTTCTAGGTTCGATTCCGGTCCGGGGCATGTACCTTGGTTGCGGGCATATCCCCAGTAGAGGGTGTGCAAGAGGCAGCTGATCGATGACTCTCTCTCATCGATGTTTGACTATCTCTCTCCCTTCCTCTCTGTACAAAATCAATAAAATATATTTAAAAAAAAAAGGTCAAATTGTTTCAACTATCTTTCTGTGCATACTTAGAAATAAATATAATTATGCTGGGTTGTTAGTTACCTTACCAGATAAGTTTTTTGAAATTAAATACACATCTATCACTTAACTGCTTCTATATATGCTAATACTTAAAATGGGACAAATGCCAATGAGGGAAGAAGCTGAAGAAATGCGTCAGACACACATTCAGGTAACAGTGTAGATCAGCACTGTTCAACAGAAATATAGTTCGAGCCATATATGTAATTTAAAATTTTCTAGCAATCATATTAAAGTTGAAATAGGCCAAAGTATTCAGGTGAAATTACGTCTTATTTAAGCGAATATATCCCAAATGTTATTTTCCACTTGTAATCAAACTATATAAATGTGTTTTACATTCCTTGAAATCTGATGTTTTGTTTTTTTTTGTGTTTGTTTTTTGTTTTTTACAATTACAGCACATTTCAATTCAGAACTGTGCAAAGTTCAAGTGCACAATAGCCAGACATGGCAAGTGGCCACATTGGTCAGAGCAGGTGTAGACTGATGAGTGTGGGAAAGGCGTTAGCATGCCCAATAAAGCAATAGTAAAAAGGCCCTTGAGCAAAGACTTTCATTTTTTAAAAATATGATTTTTATTGATTTCAGAGAGGAAGAGAGAAGCATCAATGATGAGACTTATTGATGGGCTGCCTCCTGCACGCCCCCTACTGGAGATGGAGCCTGCAACCCAGGCATGTGCCCTTGATGGGAATAGAACCCGTGACCCTCCAGTCCGCAGGTTGACACCCTATCCACTAAGCTAAACTGGCGAGGGCTGGAAAACATTTTAATTTCAAGACAAAGGGATTATTTAAAATACTGATTTGGCAAAAGATTTAAAAATGAGAAACGATGGAATTAAAAAAACACACAAATCCACGAGTCATTCCTACCACAGCATCCTCACCATTTAAGACATTCTAGGGATTAAGTCTTTAAAAATAGTTATATGTCTGGTGTCTACCCATAAACCAGCAGGTCACAAGTTTGATTGAGTCTGGGCTCACACCCGCGTTGAGGGCTTGATCCCCAATAGGGGGCGTGCAGGAGGCAGATCAATGATTCTCATCACCGATGTTTCTAACTCTCTCTGAAATCAATAAAAACATGTTTCAAAAAACTTTGTTAATAATAATATAAATCTCCTAGCTATAATCCTTCATTATGAAAGAAATCCTACAATTTTCACAGCAATGTATAAGACAATTTAGGTCAAAGGTCTCAAAATAATTTCCCTGATCTTAGCTAAGAAGGCACATCAATTCTTCATGTTTCTTTAACAAGAGGTCAAGATTTTAATTTTGGGGGTAATACAGTTCTAAAATTCAACTCCTTAAAAGTGGATCCAAACAGCGTTTCTATGTTTCAACTACCTGGTCAAAAGTATCCTTCTCACAATGTGAATAAACTTAATGCCACTGAAGTGTACACTTAAAAAAGATTAAAATGGTTACTGTATTTACATTTTGTCATAATTGAAAAGAAACTATTTTTTAAAAATGTTGCATGGCCCTGAAAGTCTTTAGGTAGAGTGAGAAAAACACAGGAATAGGATAAAGCATGTCAGTTTTCACACTCATTTTAATTTACTAGCAATTTACCAGAATTTCCAACCACTCCAGAGGTCGTATTAAGTCAGACTTATTTACAAAAAAAGGAAACCTATCTTCTGTGATTCAAATACTTTACTTTTCAACTCAGCTGCTATAAATACTCATCTCCATGGTAAACATCAAGAGCAGCTGCAAAACCATTCAAACCACTACCATCTCTTTTATTTCGGGCCTACGGCTAAAGGGAAAGAAAAAGAAACAAGATAGAATATCTATCTAGGTTTTATGTCCGAGGCATAGGCCTTTCAAGGACCAAGCTATATTGCCCCTCAATGTAGTGTTGAGAATCGCCTGCGTTCTGAAACCCCAAAAGAAAATCACTCAGCCTTTGATGAGCTATAATTTGGTACACACATTTTATAGACCAGTAGCAGCTCTGCCAGTTCATAGCGTCCTTGATAAAAAAAAAAAAAACGAAGTGTCTCCGGTGTCGTGGAGCGTCCTCTCTCCCCCTTCACGCTGTCTCCCAGCAGTTTAAAGAGGACCACTCTCTCTCTGTTTAGGTGCCAAAAAGGAAACTGTCCAGCGCACTCCAGATCTGTGTGCTTACAGACTGGGAGGCTGCTTTAGAGAGTCAAACAAGAGAGGAACCATCTGGACGTCTGTAAAGGAAAAATCTTAAAGCGGAAGAACCGTGCCAGTACACAATCGTACCGATGAAAACATCGGAGGGTAAAAACCCAGCAGGTCTCTCTGACCAGGACTCTAAAAAACTAACTCTGTGCAGAATGACGAGGCCCGGCCGATCATTGCACAATGCGGGGCTGGCTCTGGCATATGGTGAGAGAAGGTGGTGAGGAGGATGGATTCTACTAAGCTCTCCCCGAGCACGCCCTGACTGCAGGCGGGGGATGAGGGCCGCACGCCTAAGATCAGGCTCTGCCTTTCTCCAGCAGTCGAAAGGGGGGCGAAGAAAGGAAGGTTAGGCCTAGACACCGAGGAGGCCGATCGACGGGAGCGAAAGCAGGGATGCTCAGGCCGCTCTACAAAGCCAGATGTGGCCGGGGAAAGGCGTCTCTAGGCATTTCGATGCAGCAAGGCATCAGCCCATACACACACACAAAGGAGGCGCCAGTGCCGCACTGCGCTCTGGTACTCGTAGTCAGACCCCCAGGCCGATGACAGCCGTGACCACCACAGTGTCCAGAGTAGGAACAGGCCCGTCTCCGCAGCCCCCGGCTCTCCCAGCCTCACACAAAGGACCGCGCCACCACCCCTCCGCCCCGCCCGCCGGGACTTGTAGTTCCCGTCCCCCCCGCCAAGCCGCAGAGGAGAAAGCGGCCAGACTACAACTCCCAGCAGCCCCCGCGGCCCAGCCCCGCACCCCTGCCTCCATCTTGGCTGCGGTCGGAGCCTCCATTTTCGCTCCCTCCCCCCAACTTAAGTCACCGCCGCCGCCACCACGCGCGGACGCCTTGGTCTCGACTCTTCGTCTCGGCTCTGCGGCCTGACGCGAGGTCTCTACCGTCGAACACGGGCCGGGTGGGAAAGCCCGAGGCGGAGACCCAGGGTGAGATTTCCCCCTACCCGGAGCTCCGGGAGTGCCCACCTTGACTCTGAAGTCTCTCCCGTTAGTCTTGGTCTTTTCATCCGCCCTTAGTCCGGCTTCTCGCTACCCACAGGGGGACCCCAGGGTCGTACTCACCCCAACAGCTCAGCGCCCCCTCTCCAGCGCCGCCATAAGCAGCACGGCCCGGTACGTAGGAATAAATCTCGCTTCTCTCGCGAGAGTTGCGGGCTCGGAGCGCGTGCACAGGAAGGGGAGGGCAGCGTGCTCCTCACACGCCTGCGCAGGAGGGCCGAGTGACGCCCACGGGTGCGCTGCGCTCGACCGCAAGCGGAATGGAGGTTACGTGCCCGCGCGCTCCCCCCCCCACCCCCCCCCCGCCACCGTCTGCGGGCGGCGGCCTCTGGGGGCGCGGCCTCCGCCGGGGCCCTGGGGGCGGGGCGGGCAGGTGACCTGGGCGCTGTGGTCTGTGCTAACCTGCATCTGCTCGGAGCGGCTAGACCTGGGCAAATCTGGGAGGCGAGCAATTTGGAGGGCACATCCAGGACTGTCATATAAAGGGTTTCTCTTTTTCCCAGCCATGACCCCAAAGCTCCCCAAACCCCCGTTTCTTCTCACGGTGTAAGCCTTCTTTCGTCCGTTACATTAGACTGGGATGTTCATCGGTATGGAGTCAGGTAATTTGGAGGTCTTAAGTGAGACCTTTGTCTCCCAGGAACTACCTTGCTTGCAGCAGACGGACAAGAGTGGGCAAGGAGGAAGCCTAATCATTAAAAATAAATAAATAAATAAATAAATAAATAAATAAATAAATCCTTTTGACCTTTTTTGTCACCGGAGGATATTTGTAGTGAGTCGGGTAATCAAAGAGGCCGAATCAGTAACCAAGAGGTTGAAATCAGAGCAAATCATTTTGAGTTCTGAGAGGAGGCATTCTCCTCCTTCTGATGTTGGAAGGTTTTCCTCTCCGCCTCAATTGCTATTCCAATCCGATACCACCTCCAAGGTGCCTTTGTTCTCTTTTGTGTCTTCCCACGCTCTCCTGGGCACAGAGATTTGCCTCACTTTCAGTGCTTTCCTGGCTCACTCTATTGTGATGATTAGTCTCTAAGAGCTAATGATACTTTAGGGAAGGACTGTGACTTTCATCTCTGCAGGCCTGGTTCCTGATTGTGCCTGGACAGCTCTGAAAAGCTTGTTGAATGAATTTTCACTGAACTGCAGTGTAAAAAGTTGTTAGAGATGGAATGTGTTGGGGAAGTACAGAATGTAAACATGCCAAACCAGCCGTTTCCATTTCCTTTGACCAGTTCTTAAAATGAGCTCTCTCTCCCCCAGCAATAGATCTGGATATTCTAATCTAATGTTACAGAGAAACTGCCCTGGGCTCTTGCTTCAGAAACAAGGTCATGTGGAGCTGGGCTAAAAGTAGAATTAGGTCTAAGAGCACACATGCTCAAATATCACAGCAACGGTACATGTAAAAAGTAATAATCTTACTAAATTCTATAAGTACAATTCCTATTAATATGAAAGAATAAATCTGGATTTCTGCCATTACACAAGCTTAAATCATATAACCATTACATCTCATTTTGAATGTCTCAATTTGTTTTCGATTCTTCTTTGACCCATAGTTTGTATCAATGTACATTTAACAAAATGCAACTATATATAAACCCAGAAGGATACATTTTAGCTTCCAATGCATTAAAGAAAATAAAAGATGGAGTGATGTAACCTAAATCACTAGTTTAAATGATTTATTCCTTCTTTAAGTCCTACACATAATTAGTGGCAGGTTTCAGTTTTATTATATTATTTTGAGGAACTTGTGAAGTGTTTATTAATTCCACACAAGTGGAAACCATATTGTGAGGAGCTGGGGAATGGGGCTGCCAAGGACTGGGAGCCAGGCCACCAGAGGAGAAAGGCAGGAGGTGATAGGACAGGCCCAGCTGAGCTTCAGGACCATCACCAGTGCCACTGGACAGCTCTTGGGCACTCAGGTGGGCACCGGAAAGTTTACTGGTGGGGGCTCCACCGGCAGAGCAGAGAACTTGGTGTCACCAAAAGCCTCTTTCATGCGAATCTGGAAGAACGCTGCAGGTCTCTGGGAGACTGCACATCCGCCTTGCCCTCTGTTATGACCTGCTTGAACATGCTGCCCACATCCGGGCAAGCTCTTGGGGGCACTGAAGGAGGGTGGCAGCTTCTGGAGGCGAGTGTGGGTCAGTCAGGTCCAGGTGCTGCCAGGTCGATCCACAGAAAAGCTGGGGCCGGGCCGGCAGGGCTCCTGGCAGAACATGCTCTCATTTCCGCGGTTGGCTGGTGAGAGCTTGGCCACCGCACCACTGCCCTCCCCACCATCCAGACTCAGGCTGCCTCCCCTTCAGGTCAGGAAGCCTGTGGCCGAATGCGCAGCTCCACTCCTCCCCGGGCATCCTGCAGGGGGCAGTCCGGGGGGAAGCAGAGCTGGCACTGGCTGCACGTGACCAGGTTGCCTGGCTTCCAGCAGGCACAGCAGATGGTGGCACTGTCATCCAGGGGTTCCCTCTGGGGCCGCCACCTCCAGGCTGGAGCCGGTGCTGCCACTGGGTAGACCAGTTGGGGGCTCTCAGCACCAGGCCCTAGGTTTCATTTGTAGATCATTATACTTGAAGGCAATTATTTTTTCTAGATTAATTTTGAAGTCAAATAAAAAAGTTAAAAAAATTTTTTGAAACTGAAGTAAAGTAAAGCAGAAACTTGTGAAGTCACTGGGAAACCATCTGCAACACAGTAAGATAGTGGATTTGGAGAAGATATTTAGTCTATTAAGGAATGGCATCAGAACAAAAAAGTTGCAAGTAATATTTTTGGTTATTATAATTTTTCTTCTCCGAGAAACTAAAATCAACAATGAAATTGATTGCTTTTTTCCCCTATATAATGTTAATGAACACATTTCTCTGGCATCTATTTGAGAATCAAAAGTTTCCTTTACACATTCATAAGATTTTCTTGAGCAGTGATGGATGAGATTTTTGTCAGTTCTCTGAAATGAGAAAAACTAGGACAATGCAGAGATTTTTAAAAAATAAGGCTACATTTGTTCAAGATTTTAAGGACTGTTGTTTTTCTGACATAACGTCCTTCCTATTTAGGGAAGTTAAAGAGAACTTCTTTTATAAAATTATGGTAATAGTGGATAATAAAGGGATCCACATTCAAGACTACAGGACAGGAAACAATTCAAAGCTACAACTTTAAAAAAGAATAACATTCCAACAGAATGTAAATAATTAAGATTTAGCCCTAGAATCTTACAGCTCAAAAGATTTTATTGATCAGCAAGCCTCAAAATAGTTCAAATGCATTGTACAAATAAATGAGTAACAATTATGTAATAAAATATTCGAATTTAAATAACAACAATGAAAAGTTTTATATAATGCTTCCCTATAAAATGTCGACATTGCACTTCATGGAAGAATCAGGTGGACTTGCTAAGCTGCCCCACTGTAAGAAACCACCGTAACATTTCAGCTCTGGGAATCAGCCAGAGGGAAGGGCAAAGCAAGAGAATATGTTTATCAACCTTAACTGAGATCCCGATGGAAACCAATTGCACTTGGAATAAAACCCAAACTCCTTTGCCATGTCTTACAAGGCCCTAAATGACCTAGTCCTCTTAAGTCTCTAACCCCGCTTCCCCGTGATTCAGTTCCACTGCCATTTCGGTTCCTTGAACATTGCAGGTTGGTTCCTACTGCAGAAATCTTGCATTTACTGTTGCCTCTGCCTGGATTCCTCTTTCCCTAAATCATCATGTATTTGGCTCTTTCTCAGAATTTGGGTTTCGGTTCATTTGTTATGGCCTCACAAACATCTTTTCTAAAATAAAAGTATCTATTATTATTACCACCACTTCTTAAAAATATTAGTTTGTTTTATTGTCTTCATAACATATTGCCATCCAAAATTAATACATTTATGAGTTTAATTATTACCCTGCTGAACATTACTATAAACCTCAGTTATGTTTGGTTCATCATTATATCCCGTATACCTACGTCAGTTCCTTACATAATAATAGTACTTAATAAATATTCGTTGAATGAGTGAATTACACTTACTTAAAGCTAAGACTATTGATTTTACAATTTACTATTTATACATTATTCATGCACCGCAAGAATAAAATATGTTGCCATTTTATTGACATTTTTATTACTTAAAATTTTTATATTTATTAAGAACTTTTAAACTTATTTAGACCTAGATTTGTTTTCAAGTGTCACGCTCCTATGTATACAAAGTAAAGAAAAAATAAGTAAAGTTGATTAAGGTATTCCTAACACTTCTTTGCAAAGCCTAACTCTTCTGAATTTTCCTTTTTATTAATAAATTTGACCATCTTTTAAAAATTCCACTCATCAAGAGGCAGTCCCCAAAATAAAGTCAACAGCTAGGATATATTTGCAACATATAAAGCTGACAATGTATTAGTATCATGAATACATATTAAGTTAATACATATCAATAAAAAAAATAAAAAAGTTTCCAGAAACCCTTCACCCAGTTTCCCATTATGCTAATCTTATCTAACTATAAAAGTTTTCAAAACTAGAAAATTAATCTTGACACAATATTAACTACAAAGCTGATTGGATCTGATTAGTTTTCTAGAGTCAAATCTAGGATCCTACCTGCACTAAATTATGTCTCTTTGGTCTCCTCCCTCGTATGACAGTTCAAGTCTTTCCTTGTCTTGCATGACCTGGATGCTTGGAACAATATTGGTGAGTTTTGTAATCATCCCTCAATTGGTTTTGTCTGATGTTTCTCTTGATTAGATTGAGGTTACATATGACAGTAGTTGAAGGAATGTTACAGAGGTGGTATACCCTTCACATTGCATCCTCAAGGGGTATACGACACTGAGAAATATACTATTAATGATGTTTACTGTCGAAGTAAGTACATACAAACCCGCAGAGAATTTTTTTTTTTTTTTAATTCGAGTCAAACAGGATACACTTGGCAACAAGATCTCAACAGGCTAAGTTTGCAGTTTTTTTTCATGTACTTGAAATGAGGGAGGGAACTTAAAAGTTACCTGAAGGTGGAGATTGGATTATGGAGTGTTAAGATTATATACTCTCAGCCCTAGCCAGAGTATATAATCTGTGTGGCTCAGTTGGTTAAGCATTGCTCTGTGCACCGAAAGGGCACAGGTTTGATTTTTGGCCAGGGCACATACTCAGGTTGTGGGTATTTTTTTCCCCTTTCTCCATCCTCTAACATCAATAAAAAATATTTTTTAAAAGATTATGTGGCCCTAGCCGGTTTGCTCAGTGGATAGAGTGTCCACCTGCAGACTGAAAGGTCTTGGGTTTGATTCCGGTCAGGGGCACATGTCTGATTTGGGGGCTCAATCCCCAGTAGTGGGCGTGAACAGGCAGCCAATCAATGATTCTCTCTCATCATTGATGTTTTTCTTTCTCCCCTCTAATATATATATATATATATAGATAGATAGATAGATATAGATATATAGATAAGTATATCTATCTATATATCTATATCTATATATATATATAGATATATATAGATATATATATGAAGATTATGTGCTTTCTTGAGGGTGGATTGCTTTAGAAAGGATCTGAAAGGGGGTATTTCAATAGTGTGTTTACCTAAATGCACAGGAACCATGGACAAGGCTTGCTTAAGGCAAAAATAAGCCTTTTATTAAAGAAGTTCTGTGTCCAGGCCATGACTACCCACCATGAGTATAAAATTAGAAATTTATGATCAGATTACCTGAGGTTACTTTCCATAGAAACCATTTCACCTTCACCAGTTGGGTACAGTGGTGTCTGCCAGGATTCTCATAGTAAAGTTACTATTTTCTCTTTTAAAATTACTAAAATGTTTTGGGTGGTATGTTGGGACCATACTTGATTGAATAGTGTCTTCTCAAAATCTCAGTCTACCCAGACCTTAAACTGTGTCCTTTTTAGGAAAAAGGGTCTTTGCAGACATAATCAAGTTAAAACACAGTCATGCTGAATTAGGGTAAACCCTCATCCAATGACGTGTCCTTAGAAAAGGGAGATTTAGACAGAGACCTGCAGAGGGAACACCATGTGAAGGCTGAGTCAGAGGCTGTAGTGATGCATCTACAAGGAACACCAAGAATTGTCAGAGCTGAGAGGAGCCTGGAGTACGTTCTCCCTTGGAGCCTCTAGCCCAGTGGTTCTCAGCCTTCCTAATGCTTCGACCCTTTCATACAGCTCCTCAGGTGGTGGTGACCCCCAACCATAACATCATTTTGCTACTTCATAACTGTAATTTTGCTACTGTTATGAGTATGGTCTTAGACTTAGGCGGCCCAGCTAGCGGTTCTTAACCTGTCTGACCCACAGGTTGAGAATCGCTGCTGTAGAGCCTAAGACCATCGGAAAACAAAGACAATTAAGATTCTGTTGTTTTAAGCCATCCAGTTTGGGGTAATTAAAAAATATACATATTTTTTATTTCAGAGAGGAAGAGATAGAAACATCAATAATGAGAATCATTAATTGGCTGCCCCCTGCACAGAGTCTACTAGGGATTGAGCCTGCAACATTGGCATGTGCCCTTTATTGGAATCAAACCCGGGACCCTTCAGTCTGCGGGCTGAAGCTCTATCCACTGAGCCAAACTGCCTAGGGACAGTTTGTGGTAATTTGTTATTGCAAATCTAGGAAACTAATACAGAGACTAAGCAAATATCCTTTTCTGCTTAAACTTTAGTCCACTAATTTTAGCATATATTAGTGGGCATCTTTTCGGCTCACAATGTGCACATTATTTTCCACACAGAATTAATCTTGGCCCACCAAAAGAGTGCTTCATTGTTTTTAGGATTTTATTCCAAATTGCTAAGAGCTACCATGGTAGATAGAATTCTGAGATGGCCGCCAAGATTCCCACCACCTACTGTACATGCTTCTTTTAAGAAAATAAATTTTTTTATTGATTTCAGAGGGAATGATAGAAACATCAAAGATGACAGAGAATCATTGATTAGCTGCCTCCTGCACACCCGGGCATGTGCCCTGACTGGGAATCAACCCTGACTTCTGATTCATAGGTCATTGCAATCCCTGAGCCACACCTGACTATACCTACTTCTCCAGCCTGGGCTGGACCTGTGGGTATTAGAGGATTTATCGCTCCTTTATGGCAAAAGGAGTTACTACAAATGTATTTAAGATCTCTAATCGCAGGGAAGGTGGGAGTGGGTGGGTGGATGGGAAGAGATCAACCGAAGAACTTGTATGTAAATATGCATAACCCAAGGACACAGACAAAAGTGTGGTGAAGGCCTGGGGTGAGGGATAGGAGGCGGGGCCAGGCTAGAAGGGTGGGTAGGGATTAAAAGGGGAAGAATGTAATACTTTCAACAATAAATATTTTTTAAAAAGATCTCATGTAAGACAAAGGGACACCATGTTACACTTTAATGGGCCACTTGATTACCATGTTCACTGAAAACTGACCATGGCAGCTGACAAACAGTATAGGTACCTACCTCTTGAATTGGAATTGTAGGATATATGGCGGCACTTAGGGCATAAAATTCAAGGCAAATGGCTGGGTGAAAAGATTACTCTTGGGAATTGGGATAAAAATGCCTATACTTGGGGTAGAACACTTTTCAAATTCTATGCAGGACTTTGAATAGAAACTTGATGAATTCTTAAATAATATATACTTATTCATTGAAGCCTACTATTGTAGGCAAAGTCCATTAGCTTGCTGGGATCAGATGCTTTTAGGATATCTTAGATTTTGTTTTAACAGGATTTCATTTTTTATGGCTGTACAAAAGAAATTTTACATCACACAAAACACTAACATAAAACTTTAATACTGTGCTTCTCCCATGCACTATCATGCTTAAAGTTCTTAGAAAACATTGACAGATTTAGCATTTATTATTTCAGTTATTTAGAGATAAACCTAAATTGATAGTATAACATGAAATAACATGAATAAACTGAAATGGGGGAATGAATTGATGAATGAGTCTAGTTGACTACTCAGCATTTGAATCTCAACACTGCTTGGTTGTCTAAGACATATGAATGTAATAACTCTTATTAGGTGATAAAACTGCTTCCTTGTGGAAAATGGATCTGAAAAGAAGCCAACTATTGGTACTAATAATGAAAGATATCCAAATAAGTGATTGTTCTTAAAAGATAGGTTATATATAAATAGTAGAATGTAGTACCCAAGAACTATGATGTGAATAAATCTATTATATGCTGTTCACACTGGGTAAAAAAATGAAAAATTGATTACTAATATCTAGTGGAATACCTGAAAGCTGCTTTTAGCATTTGAGCTAAGTGTGCATGTGTGCGTCCACATACACAGGACACGTTTCTTAGCATTCTTTGCGCACACAATGACTATGTTACTACTGGAAAAAACAGTTAACTTATTTTCAAGTATGTTTCCTGGAGACTAGCAATAGGTTCTCTCAAATTAAGAGTAAAGACACACGGCTATGAAGTGCCAACTCTTAGCACCAGAGAGATGTAAACTTCATAGAATGTGAGTGACATTACAAATCGGAGAATCTGCCAATCTAGTTCTGTGAAATTGTATTTTTCTCAAATGGGAAATAATCCAGATTTATGCCAAATAGATTTAAAAAGCTCATCTTTTTCATAATTGCAATTTATAATCCTATATAAAATAAAATCGCTGCCTTTTGATACAATGCTCAAAGTTTCAGAGATGTGGAAAAAAACAAAACAAAAAATGAACCAAAAACAGTTTATATAAATCAAGGTCCCAGAGATGAAAATTAAAAGTAGTCTCTTAGAGAAAGGAATGGTGAAATTCAGTGTGTATTTTCACTAACACACCCCGAAACTGTTTTGTGGACAGCCAATTTTGACTGCCAATTCTAAACTGCCATCCGATTCCTTTAATCAACATTATTAAATCAAGTCTGAGGCAAGACACTGAAAGTACAATAATAGGAAGATAGTAACTTCCTTCCTTGATAAACAATCTCCAGCGGTCATTCAGAAGCTGAAGTTATTTGTTGGCTTGGGAGGCAGTGTCCATTGAGCTTTCCTTTCTGACCTGAAGCGACTCACTGCTGATGGACAGTAATTCCCGAAGTTCCTTATTTTCAAGCTGGGGGAGAGGGGAAAAGGCATATGTTTATTGCAGGTATTTTGACTGTTTAACTGCATCAGAATACATTGTTTCAGGTCAGGAACAGAAAGCATATTATTTTAATTTTTAAAGTTTTAAGGAAAGAACTGAGAGTTTCCTAAAATACAACTTATTTATTCATTGAACAAACATTTACTGAGCAATTTTTATATGCTACTTTGTTAGAACTACAAAAAAAAAAAAAGGTTCCTCCCCACTAGAGGGATTCACTGCTTATAATACTCTTCTATCTTTCACATTCCTAACTGTACTCTCACTCCACTCAGTCTTCTCTCCTATATGGCCTAAAGGGGGAGAAGAAACTAATTAGCCCCTAACCAGCATCCACGTGGATGTCTTACATATATTATCTCTCAACCATCTGCAGGGTAGGTACCATTGCTATATACATCCTCTCTTTAAAATGAGGACAACGTGGTTCACAAAAGTCCAAAAATCTGTCCAAACTCAGATACTTGGATGTGGTATTGCTGAGATTTCCATCCAGTGCCATGCTTTGCACTTAAAGTGTTAAGTAAAATTTGTCTGTTTCCTGAGGGCTCTTTCCATAACTAAGGAGAAAGTAGACAAGGTTGTTCTATCATCTGAATTGACTCCTAATTCCTACTTGGAACCTTGTCTCTCCCTGTGCTTTCCCGACTCTCTATCCTTATTCTCTCTGCAGGAAATTCTGGCTGTCAGGCAAGAATCAGAGCTTATGGTCATTAAATCTTCTACCATATAAAGTGCTTTCCTCGTACTTTGTATCTCTCACCTGGCATTTCTATACCATTTCATATCTTAATAGAGGCCCGGTGCCGTGCACCGGGGGGTCCCTTGGCCTGGCCTGCCCTCCTGGGAGGGACCGTGGAACGAAAATAGCAACAATCTTACCTCTAATTGGGCTAGTTTTTCCTGAATCTTACAAAATTGGTCATCATCCACCTGAACTGCTTTCCTCATCACTTCCCCCATTTCACAGATTCTGTCGATCTGACTCTCGATTTCCTGTGAAGATAAAACAAAAAAGGTGAAAAAGTCATCTTTTCTGCAGATAGGAAGCTCATGAGAACATGTCCATTATGATGTTAAAAGGTTAATTTAATCTATGCTACAGGGGTTACACAGCCAATTCACCATATCTGAGTCCCAAAAGTAAAACCATAATAAAGTTATCCTGTGGTATTCACAAATAATTTTTCAAAAGACTGATTATAGTCTAACTACCCACTGAATTTTGGACAGCATCTCTAAGGAGCCTCTTAACTTAAACTTGAATACTTTTATTGGCAAGAAGGTCAACACATTCAAAAGTACTTTATTCCATCTTTGGACTTAGCTTTTTTTAATTTTTACTGATTTTTGGAGAGAGAGGAAGAGCGAGGGAGAAGAGAAACATCAATGTAGAGCAGAACACTGATCGGTTGCCTCCTGCATACTCCACTGGGGATGGAGCCTGAAACCCTGGCACGTCCTCTTAGGAATTAAATCAGCAACCTTTTGGTGCACGTGACCTCATGCAACCAACGGAGCCACACCAGCCAGCGCTGGACTTGTCTTTTAACAAGTTTTTCATATGAACTAAAATCTGTTTCCTTCAAGGTTCAAATTTTCTCCTCTAAAGAAAATAAAATGTTATCTTTCTTGCCCTGACTGGTTTGGCCCAGTGGATAGAACATCAGCCTGCGGACTGAAAGGTCCCAGGTTCTGTTCCCATCAAGGACATGTACATTGGTTGCGGGCACATCCCCAGTAGGGGGTGTGCAGGAGGCAGCTGATCAATGTTTCTCTCTCATCATTGTTTCTAACTATCCCTCTCCCTCTCTGTAAAAATTCAATAAAATATATTTTTTTTAAAAATTTATCTTTCTCTTCCATAAGAAAACTATTCATATATTTGAAGCATCGCTGTTTCCTAAGACTTAAGTCAGTAAAATGCTTTCAGTGGAATCTAGGATGAAACTTTTCCTAAATTTCACTGCAGCAAATAGTGAGGCACTATTAATACATGATTAAATGACACAGTACATGTGAATATACAAGGACAACCATAAAGCACTCTACAGACATATGAATAATTACTGGGTCTCCCAAGTTCAGTCATTATCAACCGAAGTGTAGAAACGATGCCTTCCACATAACATCATGCTCATTAGAAGCATACTTATATATGCATACTTTTCTCTTCTAATGAGCATGATGTTATGTGGTTGGTTCAGTTTAATAAAAGTTTCCTGACTGCCTGCTATGTGCCAGGTACTATGTTAGGGATAAAAGATGAATGTATGCTCCTTACAACCAAGGAGCTTACAAGTTAGTAAAATGTACAATCATAACCAATCAGGTATTTCCTGAGCCCTTTGACACTAGCTAGCATTGTGTTTGGTGGAAGAACTAAGCATTCGTTAGTATCTGGAGAGATCTTGGTGAGGGAGAAAGGATCCTTAATCCTATTCAAATGAAAGAACATGAGAGCCTCTTACCCCTTTGTTTTATTCAAACCTTTTTCTTTTCTATCGATTTTTACAAAGAGGAAGCGAGAGGGATAGAGAGCTAGAAACATCGATGAGAGAGAAACATCGACCAGCTGCCTCCTGCACACACCCTAACGGTGATGTGCCCATAACCAATGTATATGCCCTTGATCGGAATCGAACCTGGGACCCTTCAGTCCGCAGACTGACGCTCTATCCACTGAGCCAAACCGGTTTCGGCTGATTCAAATCTTTACAAAGCTACAGCAAAACCAGCAGTGAATGTAATAAACACGAAAGGAAAAAAAGCTCTTCAAAAAGGCATACAAGGTAACACAGTTACAAGGTTTCAATTCAGTTCATTTAGAATTTAAAAGCTTTTCTTACTGCAGAGTGAGTCTGGTGAGCCTTCAGGACTGGTTCAGCATCCACTGCTTTCTTAACAACCATTAACTGTAACATCTGTTTCCGATATTTGCTCATGATGAGCTCCAAAGCATCCTGGTGTTCCTCCAAGGACACCCACAGTTCTGTCAGAAAATAAAACAGCTTGGCAGTGATGTCCGAGAGAGCTTTCAGAGCCAAACTCTTAGTGGGATTTTATGGCACCCCATGAGATATTGTGATTCCAAATCATTGCTTATGTCCACAAAATACAACAGTTAAGGTCAATGTGAAATATAACTCTAGGCAGAGGCAGCACAGTTTGGTAGGAACATGGGATTTGGAATCAGAAGGCATGGGTGTGAGCTCAGTTCTGTGAGTTATTAGGTAATATTCTTAAGCAAATCATTTAACCTGTCTGAGCCTATTTCATATCTGGCTCATAAACCTCAATATGAAAATATAAGAATACAATGGGATGATATATGTGGAAGCGCTCTGTCAACTGACATACAAATAACTGTTCATACTTCTATCATCAATAACGCACTTGTCAAACCTAAAAATAGACATCCCTGAGTATAAGATTTAGCTCTTCCACTTTGTACAAGAACATAAACTCTTCAATCTTAACTTTAGTACATTTGAATATTTAAACTTTACAGTTGAATCCCTAGAGGATATTAACTCTAATTCACTTCTACTAAGCACTCTTAGATAAGCTGCCTATAAACACAGACAACCTTGAAAAGGGCAATGTAGCAAACTTTATTTTCCTGCACCAGCACAGGATCATCTGTCACTAAAAGTACTGATTTGGAAATACACACAACATACGCACTTTAGTAAACGGCTGGGCAGTTCTGCACCAACTTCCACAATATTACTCCTGGGGATGAGAACATCACACAACTACACGAAAAGGCCTGACTAACCTCTGTTTTCCTGCTGCAAGTCTCTAATCTGCGTGTTCTCCTGGGACAGCAGAATGTGAGGCTTGTACTTGGACATGTCCTTCAGATCGGATGCATCCTCCTGATACTGGACAGACAGACAGACTGAGCACAGGGGCAGCCGAAGGGGCAGGGGGCGGGGCTCAGGGCGGCGGGCTCAGCCCCGATCCCGCAGAGAGGTTCTCACCGCCGCCCCCAGACCCTCCGAGACCAAGAACTTGACCTCGCCCTCCACCCGTCCAGAGCCCAGCACCCGAGGGCCCGGAGCCCTCTCCGCCGACCTGGTCCGGAAGCGCCGTCCCCGCCTCCCGCATCGCGGCCACCCGCCGGTGCAGCGCCGCCGACTGGTCCACCAGCGACTCGGCGGCCGCGTCGTGCTCCCGCAGCCGCTCCAGCAGCGTCTTGGCGTCCGTCAGGATCTTCTCGATGGTGCAGCTCATCGCGACCGCGGGACGCAGCCGGCGGCCCCCGCAGCCGCGCGCAGGTCCTCCCGAGCCGGCCCGGCGCCGCAGACGTCACTTCCGGTGCCTAAAAGGCTCGGGCCGCCCCCTGCACCTGCGCAGTAGCTGCCGAGCCGCCGAGCCGCTGGCCGTCACCCGCGGCCCCGCGGGCGCAGGCGGCGGCCCTGGCCACGCCCTGGCTTCCTGGTCCCACGGCCGGTGGGCGAGTGTGCATTTGCCGGGCAGGTGGAGCTTCTTCACCGTTTCGTTTTGTTTTGTTTTAGGGGATGTTCACTACCGGCGGACAGTGAAGCGGGAGGGTTTGGCACGGAAGCAGAGCAGGAGAGCCCGGCTGGCGGGTTGGGTCTGGAAATGCAGGAGAGACGTGGGCGGGGCGGGCTGCGCTGGCTCCCGGAGGAGCAGAGGGAAGGGCCCGGGGCCGGCCCGCTGCTGCCCTGTCTCTGGGCACCCGAGAGTGATGCTCGCCTGAGAGGGAGGAAAAGCAGGGCCCTCTGCCCTACACTGGTTTTGGTTGCTGTGCGTTATTTTTTTTTTAATTTATATTTTTAAAAATTGTGATAAAATACACCACCTTAACCATTTTTAAATGTACAGTTCAGTAGTCTGACGTACATTTATAGTGTTATGCAAGCATCACCACCACCCATCTCCAGAATGCTTCTTGCAAAATTAAAACTGTACACATGAAACATTAGCTCCCTAGTCTGCCCTCCTTCCAGCCCCTGGCAACCACTAGTCTACTTTCTGTCTCAGAATTTGACTACTTTAGGTGCCTCATATCAGTGGAGTCATACAAATTGTATTTGTCATTTTGTGACCGGCTTATTTCTCTTGGCATAATGTTCTCCAGTTCATCCATGCACATCACAATTTCCTTTCTTTTTAAGGCTGAAAATATTTCATATCACACAAACACATACACACACACACACACACACACACACAGGAATAGTCATGAATAAAATATCATAGATTGAATTACCCTATGAGCCTTTTTCTGCTCCATACCTATAGATCAACTCCTTTAGCCAGCAAAGTGCATGAACTAGGAAAAAAAAAAAAAAAACAAACTCCAGGAACATGATCAATTGATGATCAGCCTCTAGCATCATTTATTTTTTTATTTTTATTATTATTTTTAAAAATATATATTTTATTGATTTTTCACAGAGAGGAAGGAAGAGAGAGAGCTAGAAACGTCGATGAGAGAGAAACATCGACCAGCTGCCTCTTGCACACCCCCTACTGGGGATATGCCCGCAACCAACATACATGCCCCTGACCGGAATCGAACCCGGGACCTTTCAATCAAGAAAACAAAGTATTTATTAAGTAAACAATAAGAAACTCTGGGAGAATGTGACTTAAAGGTCTCAAAGGCTTCTATCCCCATGATCTGGCTATTATTTGATTTATGTAAGCTTGTAACTGCCCTTGTTTTGATCCGAGAGGACTGGGTGGAAAGTTGTCTCAGAGATAGAGCTGAATCATTGCTCTGCAGAGTGTCTGGAGCCTAAGGGTATGCAAAGTGCTTATCTGCTCCCTAATAAACAAGGAAAAGGCCAGTTCGCTCTATCTGGAAAGCTGAAGCCATTGCTGAATCTGTATATATTCTGCAAGGAAAAGGACTGTCCCGTCATATCATGCAACTGTGAGTATGCTCTTTTAAAAAATAAGAACATTTTATTTTATGCCATCCAAATTAAACTATTTTAATTTTTTGCAAAGTTAATGTTTCTCTCCCACTCTCCTCTTCTCTGAAATCAATAAAAATATATTAAAAAATAAATTTCATGTGAAAGTGTGAAATTTATGGTGGCACTATTCTTTTGAAAGACTGGCTGCAAATAAATAACGTGAATTAAGTTAATTTAACACTAGAAGTAGCATTTTGGTTTTCAATAAAGACCATAGTTGAATTTTTCATTGTTGTAAAACTTGGAATATTTAACTTATACCCTCAACTTAAAAATATCTTACTCAATGTATCAATTATCAGCCAGTACCTTATGCATATTCTTGGTATCATTTCTTGGAGGGAATATTTCATCCTTTTAAGGGTACCTAGACTCAATTTTCATTATACATCCTTTCTTGAACATCCTTTCCAGCTCAAACATTTTGTAATTTTAGCAGAAAATAGTGTGTCTCATAAACTTATACAAATTTAAACAAAGTGGGTTATTTAAAAATATTACTGAAATCCTTTGGAAAGGCATCACTTACATACATGGAGAAAGTAGAAAAACTCATTGCTCACGCCTGGTACTTAACACCACAGTACTTATCGTATCCAGTCTCCCAAGCCTAAAACCAGGCGGTCGTCACCCTTAGACTTTTCTCTCGTTGCTCATGATTTAAAAAACCATCACACCCTACCCATATCAGTTCCTTTTATATTTGATACCTCCTCTTCATCTCCCCTACCACTGTCTTAGCTCACACCTCAGGCTGCTGAAACTCTATCTACAACTCCAGTCTCATAAGCCTAAAACCGTGGTTGGCAAACTGCAGCTCGCGAGCCACATGCGGCTCTTTGGCCCCTTGAGTGCGGCTCTTCCACAGAATACCACAGCCTGGACGAGTCTGTGTTGAAGAAGTGGCGCTAGAAGAAGTTCTAAGTTTAAAAAACGTGGCTCTCCAAAGAAATTTCCATCGTCGTACTGTTGATAGTTGGCTCTGTGGACTGACCAGTTTGCCCACCACTGGCCTAAACCATTTTCCTTCTACACCTTTTCCTCTGACCTTGATCATGCCTCCCTTTCTGCTCAAAACTCTTCCAGATTCCCGTTCAGGAAGGCTCTTTTCCGAGTCTCTGCGCGGCCTTCCCAGCTGCTACGTCTCCAGCCTCGTTTCTTGCCGTTTTCCCACCTGGTCCTCACACCCTACACCCTTCTGGGGCTCACTGACTCTTGTTCGCCTCTCCCCCGACGCCAGTGCCTTCACCGACCCTCCTCCTGCCACGAATGCTCTTATTTTACTCGAGTCCGTGCTCCCACGCCACGTGTTCATTTCCCCGGCTCAGCTGGGCTCTGACATTACAGCCACAGGGGAGATGCCGGTTCACATGGCCACACAGCCCGCCTCCTTCACAGATACCCTCTCCTCCCTCAGGGCTGCTCTTGGCCCCGGTCCCTGTTTTAGCCAACGCCCTGTCCACCCTCCTCTTCTCCCCGGAAGCAGCAACAGAAGCCAGGACGGACCCCACCAGCCACCGGGAGCGCAGCTTTCCCCCGAGGCCTAACCACCCCCTCAAACATGGCCGCCTTCACACGAGGACACGTGGCTAGTAACTGGTGGTTTGTGTGTCAGGTTCCCGCCTAAGACCGCGCTCTCGAGGACAGAAGCGGGTCTGTCACGCTCAGCTCCCACGCATCCCGGTAGCAGGGAGTTCAAAGCACGCGGCCTGCACAGAACATGCTAGAAGGAACGGTTACCCGGTTCAAGGGGAAGTCTCGCGAGATGTCAGCGTGCGTGCGTGCGTGCGTGCGTGCGTGCGTGCTCACGCGGGTGGCGGTTGGTGACGGTTATTTAGCCGTTAAACCGCCCCGCCTCGTCACTTGGCTCCGCGCTGCCGGCCGAGCAGGTGGTGAGCGCTCCCGCCTTTTCTGGGCTCGGAGGCGGCGTCCTCGCAGGTTCTCCCCGCCGCCGGCCTCGGGGGCGGGGCGGGGGGCTCTTCCATTTCCCCTGTGGATGGAACTTAGCGCCGACTTCCATCTCGGAGGCCGGACCCGAGCCGGGAGACACGTTTGAGCCCGCGCCACCCGCCGCGGGCGGCCTTCGGGGCGGCGGGCCGCGACCCCCGGCGGTTCGGTTCCCTCCGCGAGGCGAGGCGGGGGCGCGGGGCTGGGGAGCCCGGAACGCGCTTCGGGTTCGAGTTTCTCGCTAATTCTTTTCGGCGGAGAAGGAGGGGGAGAGGGGACAGGGAACCAACAGGGGAGCGTCTGCCCCGACCCCCGCAGGGACAGGCGACAGGTCCCGTCCACTCCTGTAGGTGGTCCCTGAGGATCGCAGCATCACCTTTTATTTCTCTTTTATTTATTTATTGATGTATCTGTGTCGTTGAAAGTATGACAGACGTCCCCCACCCGCCCCTCTGTTTCCCGTTACCCCTTCCGCCCCCCACCCCCCGGGCCTTCGCACCGCTGCCTGTGCCGATGGGCCCTGCGTGCGAGTCCCCGGGGAATCTCTCCTTTAAAATACCCCCTCCGCCCCCTCCCGCTTTGGGGCAGCAGGTCCCCCCGGCGGCGAGAGAGAAAATGGACAAACAGAAGCCCATCACCTTGTTTGTGCCGCCGAGACTGAGCAGCGGCCAGGTATCGGCCGTGAAACCGCAGACCGTGGGGGGAGACACCAGCTTCTTCAAGGTAAATCTGCATCTGAATCTGGCAGTAGGCTATTGAGGCAAATGAGGCCAGGTGTAGTTTCTTAGTGGTGATATTTTTTTTTTTAATAAGCCTTTCTTTTCAGTAAATGTAGTCTGATTTACCCAAGATTTTGTTTTTTATTATATTTTTATTGATTTCAAAGAGGAAGGGAGAAGAAGAGAGAAACATCATGTTGAAATTCATATTGGAGATGGAATGAAACTATTTAAAATTTTATATGTCTCTTTAGCCAAGAATGTAACTTTAAAAGATTATATAATGAAAATAATCCTTAATTATGATGAAATTGAAAGATCACAATAAAATTGAAGAAAACTAATATCCTGTGCTACTAATTAAAATTCCTAATGTTATTCTTGAATACTTAACAAAGCATCTATTGCATAATAGATAATTTAGGTTCACCTAATAACTGAGAATACATAATTAAATTTTTTGCTTCATTTACATGGCAAAAGCATTTGATATTTTTAACTATATATATTAAAAGATTTATAATTATAGTCACTTCTTTCTTTTTTAAAAAAAACATTGTTTTTTTACAGAGAGGAAGAGAGAGGGATAGAGAGTTAGAAACATCGATGAGAGAGAAACATCGATCAGCTGCCTCTTGCACACCCTCTACTGGGGATGTGCCCGCAACCAACGTACATGTCCTTGACTGGAATCGAACCCAGGACCCTGGAGTCCGCAAGCCGACGCTCTATCCACTGAGCCAAAACGGTCCCGGCTATAGTCACTCTTTAAGCAGATGTATATTATAGTTGTAACTACATATTATACTGCTTTATACTGCTTGTTATCTGAATTGTATGGGACAGTATATTTAACAACTTGTGTTTCTAGAATTTCAACAAAGATACTGAAGATGACACTTGTTTTCCATTTGAGATGACTAATCGCTCCAAACAAGGGAAAAACATTGATTCAGGTAGGAGATTGGGAAAGCAACATATCACCTCACATAGAAGCGTTTTTAAAATCTACATTGCTAGATATTGAAAATATAACAGTATTATGTTAATAGTCTTGACATTAAGGTTACATATAATACTTAATGTAAAAATTAAGATGCTCACATACTTAATATCTGTTGTCTTTTATCTTGCAGATGCTGCCTTACAAAAAGTTAACTTTTTCCCCATGCTTGAACAGGTCAGTTAAGTATAGTGCCTACGGATAGATACAATCTGTTTAGGCATTAAATTGCTTGCTTGAAAAAGAAAAAAAATTTTTAGTTGTTGGATTACTGCTCTTCAGTATTTAATTGCTATTGTGTAAAAACTCTCATCAGAAATATTTTCTTACAGGAAACATTTATTCATTTTTTAGGTTGATAATTTTGACAGTTGTCATTACCAGGAAGGATTAAAGGACTCTGATTTTGAGGTTGGAAGATTTCCCATTCATATGAAATTTCTTGCCATTAGAGTATCATTTGTTATTATTTATATATTTTTTTTGAGGCTTCAAAAGAATGAGTGGTTAATGTTTGAAAGTATACTCTTTGATTTCCCTCCCTTCTTTTTTTTCTTCATTTAAAATAGCCAAAACTCTAGACTTCTGTATTTTCCTGGGTTATAATGGCACCTGCTTTTAAGGGGCAATTTAAATTTAAACCATAGAAATCAAGAATAGAAGAGGGGAAAATGGATGCAATATGTGAAAAGGCTGAGAATCAAACCCAATATTTTATAATTTTTTTATTAATAGGTATGATTGTGTGGCTGGTTAACTGTCTAAGGAATTTGTAGGACTTGCTATCCTTTTGATTTTAGTTGTAAAAATGTTCTTACTAATGGCACATCTTGTCTTTAAAATGAGAAATTCTGTTTGTTGCTGGATTATAGTATAACAGAATTTTAAAATATAGAACTTATTTTTATATATTTTGACAATAAAGAGCATCAACGAGCAGAAATCAGTGTGGTTTAAAACAAAACAAAACTCTGGCTTTGTAATGTAGAAATCAATAATGCAGGAAATCCAAGTAAAATCTCAGGGTAAATGAAAGATCTTATGTTCACTTATTTTTCTTATAATTGTATTTTAAGCTTCATGTTCTTTATTTAACCCCAGTTTATATTTTCAAAATGTTTCAAGACCATTGTTAAAGTTTATAGATTTTATGTACAGTGATTTATTCTAGCGTTTCACCAGCTAGATTTTCTCCTTAACTAAAATATTTCTAACTTCTGGCTTAGGTTCATTTTGAAGTTACTTGGTTTTATTCAGCAAGGTGTAACTTAGTCAAATGATAAGTAACTTTGTGAAGTAAAGTAACTAGAGACTGCCTTAAGAGTACAAAAAGTTAATATAGCTTTCACTATGCTATTAGGGCATATATTTTGAGGAGAGATTTGATCTCAAATATTCAGATGTTATTACTCATGGATATTTTCAATAGGTTTGGTTATACTAACATTTTGAAGAATTAACAATTTTTGAAAACCTATTTTTAACAGAATTCAGAGCCAATGAGCAGACTATATTCAAAATTGTATAAGGAGGCTGAAAAGATTAAGAAGTGGAAAGTGAATATAGACTTTGAACTGAAGCAGAAAGAAAATAAGTTGCAAGAAAATAGAAAGATAATTGAAGCACAGCGGAAAGCCATTCAAGAGCTACAGGTATGCCCTAGCCGGTTTGGCTCAGCGGATAGAGCGTTGGCCTGTGGACCAAAGGGTCCCAGGTTCAATTCCGCTCAAGGGCACATTCTTGGGTTGCAGGCTGGATCCCCAGTAGAGGACGTGCAGGAGGCAGCTGATCAATGAGATTCTTACTCATCAGTGATGTTTCTGTCTCTCCCCCTCCCTTCTCTGAAATCAATAAAAACATATATTTAAATAAAAGAACTACAGGTGTATGTGATTTGGAATTTAAAATGTAGTATAATAAATCTTATAATACAGTTTAAAATAGAATATTGAAAGACAAATATCACATGATCTCACTTATTCGTGGTATCTAATGAACAAAATAAATTGACCAACAAAGTAAAATCCGAAGCAGGGAGGCATGGAACAGACTAAAATACCTCAGTGTGGGCTTGGGGAACAAGGAGAGAGAAAGGAAAGAACTTACAAATGTATATGCATAGTTCATGGACTCAGGCCATAGGATGGTGAAGAACTGGGTGTGAGGGTGGGAAGGGACTGGGAGGAGGAGAGAATGGTGGGGGAAAAGAGATACTTGTAATACTATCAACAATAAAAAATATATTAAAACTATTGTTTCAGGGTAAGTTGCATTTATCTTGTTTCTGTAATGTAGATTTTAAGGACTCTTTGAAGTTTCATTGATATTAATTGCATTTCAGCTTTAGGATGGATACAGAGGATGAGTTGCACAAGATAATGCAAATGATTAGAGAAATGATTGATTTAATGATTCTGATTGAGTTTTATTCCTATTACTGATGATGTTTTACTTAATATAAATGTCTTTTATTACATTGTACTATAACATTTATAGATAAAACTTTAAATCTGAAACTGTTTAGCTTCAATTTTCATCGCATAGTGATAGAAAAATGTTGAGAAACTGCAACATTGGGCTAGGACGAAGATAAAACATTTCAAAATGTTTAGGTACGATAACTTGATTTTAGATTGATGAAAGTGAGGCCCATTGTCTTATGGGAAATCCATAAGCTGTGACAAAAAAATACTTTTTGGTGTTTAAAGAAAACAATTTTTATGGACCATTATAGCATGTTAGCAAAGAAATACTATTTGCTTTGTTTACATAGCAAAAGTATTTGATATTTTAAACACTGTATATATATATATATATATATATATATATATATATATGTTAAAACATTTACAGTTATAGTCACTTTAAGCAGATGTATTCTACATGTGTAATTGCATATTACACTGATTGTTATGCTTATTTATTTTGATAAGCAATATTTGATGAACTATTCTGTTTTGTAAATTAGTTTGAAAATGAAAAAGTAAGTTTGAAATTAGAAGAAGGAATTCAAGAAAATAAAGAGTTAATAAAAGAGTAAGTAATGATTTAATGAATTTGTTCTTTGCAAATTTATTATTAAAATAATTTACAAAAATTTATTGAGCACTTTCTGTTATAAGCTCCACATCATTTCCAAATACTTGGCCCTATGTATCTTTTCCATCTGGCTGTTCCTGAGTTATATACTTGTATAATAAACTGGTAATCTGGTAAGTAAGTTGTTTCTCTGAGTTCTGGGGGCCATTCTAGGAAATTAATTGAACCTAAATAAAAGGGGTTGGGAACCTCTGATGTATATAGCCAGTAGGTCAGGGATATAGGTAACAACCTGGGCTTGTGACTGGTGTCTGAAGTCATGTTTATTGAAGAGGCTGTCCTTTTCCCATTGTGTACTCTTGACTCTTTTGTCATAAATGAATTGACTATATTCTTGAGTTTATTACTGGCTTCTCTATTTTGTTCCATTAATCTATGTATCTGTTTTTATGCCAATACCATACTGCTTTTATTACTATAGCTTTGTAATAGAGTTTGAAATCAGGAAGTGTGATGCCTCCAACTTTGTTCCTTTTTATCAAGCTTACTTTGGCTATTCAGGGTCTTTGTGGTTCTATACAAACTTTATGATTGTTCTATTTCTGTGAAAAATGCCATTGGAGTTTTCATAGGGATTGCACTGAATCTCTAGATTGTTTTGCCTAGTAGGGACATTTATATTATTTCCCCTAATCCATGAGTGCAGAATATCTACATTTATTTGTGTCTTCTTCAGTTTCTTTAATGTCTTAAAGTTTCCAGTGCATAGTTCTTTTACCTCTTGGCTTATGTTTATTCCTAGGTATCTTATTCTTGTTGATGTATTTATAAATGGGATTATTTTCTTAATTAATGTATAGAAATGCAACTGATTTTTGTATGTTAATTTTGTATCTTGCAATTTTACTGAGTTTATTTATTCTATTTGTTGTTTTGGTGGAATCTTTAGGTTTTTCTATCTACCTATATAATAGCCTAAGCCATTGTTATAGTAGAACCGGGCCTGTAGTATATAATAACATGCTATCTGTAAATAGTGGCGGTTTTACCTGCTCTTTTCCTATTTGATTCCTTTTGTTTCCTTTTCTTGCCTAATTGCTCTGACTAGGACTTCTAATACTGTGTTGAATAAAAGTGGCAAGAGTGGGCATCCCTGTCTTGTTTCTGATAAAAAAGAAAAGCTTCAGCTTTTCATCTTGAGTATGATGTTATATATAGGTTGTAATATATGGCCTTTATTATGTTGATGTCCCATTCCCTCTGTACCCACTTTCATTGAGAAGTTTTTATCATAAATGAATATTGAATAATTTCTCAACATCTGTTGAAGTGACCAGAGGTATTGTTATTCACAGAATGAATAGCTAGTCAGAATATTACCTATTTTGTGTTTTTGAAGGTAAGGTAGCTGGAATATTTATGAAAAGTCCAACCCTCTCTTCTGCCCTTCAGTCCCTTAGGCAAACTTAGAACTATTTACTAAAAGGTTATTGGTAGCTACTTGGGTAGAAACTTGTTAAGGAGTTTATTCCTTTTAGTTTTAAAGGGAGGCAGTTTCACTAACAGTATAGTCAGCCCATTTTTTCTTCATATAGTCATTTATGAGCAAAATGATATATACAAAATGTTTAAGAATTCCTTTAAAATTGTAAAAATAATGTTTCATAACTTTTATATATGGTTTTGTTTGTAATCAGATTAAGTTTAGCTGTTTCATTTGTTCCAGGAATAATGCTATAAGGCATTTATGCAATTTACTGAAAGAAACCTGTACCAGATCTGCAGAAAAGACAAAAAAGTGTAAATATCTTTGTTTTATGTAATTTTATTAATTTATTATTATTTTAATGTGGGGATTCAGAGTGGAAGAAATAGTCCTTTCACCATTTAGTTTTAGGCTCTCTTAAGTCAGAGATCAGGTGGTAGTTTGAAAAATCTTTTAAACATTATTTAGGTGATCTTTTAAATGAATTAAAGGTTATATCTTAATATGACAGAAGAGATGGTTTTTTCTTAAAAATTCTTAATACTTGCCTTATTATATGTGTGGCCTATTCTTTCTTTATGACTGTAACTTCCTCTCCTATCTTGGTCCTGTTGAGAACATAGAGTAATTTTCTGAAATTTTCATCTGGATTCTGTAGAGTTCATTTTCAGTGATAGGCAAGTTGTTTCCTTTGATAGTATTTTTTCATAGGTATCATATAGATTTTCTTCCCTTATACATCATAGATAAAGCAAGAACTATCTGTACTAAATAAACTACGTGATAAACTGAGTTTGATCCTAATTTACCTCCCTTGGTTTAGTGGTTGAATCCTCTTTTCATATTTATAATTGTATGTCAGGTCACTTAGCAGTTTTTAAAGTTTTCACCTTGCACAGTTGTGTTTTCTTTCTTTTTATTTATTTTTCATTTTTAAAAATAGATTTTATTGATTTTTTTTTACAGAGAGGAAAAGAGAGGGATAGAGAGTTAGAAACATCGATGAGAGAGAATCATCGATCAGCTGCCTCTTGCACACCCTCTACTGGGGATGTGCCTGCAACCAAGGTATATGCCTTCGATGGGAATCGAATCCAGGACCTTTCAGTCCCGCAGGCCAAGGCTCTATCCACTGGCCAAACTGGTTTCGGCTAAAAAAGAGAATTTTTTTTTGCACAGGAGCATATAAAAGATATAAAAGAGGATTCAACCACTAAATCAAGGAAGGTAAATTAGGATCAAACTCAGTTTAACACAGAATTTTAATGTTTTCTGAGGCGTCTTACTATTATCTTGTTGGCATCATAAGTGTTTTAAAATTAAAATTTAAATATTTTTATTAATAATAGATGAATATGAACGAGAAGAAACTAGGCAAGTTTATGTGGACCTAAATAATAACATTGAGGTAAGTGGTAGTGAAAACTTAATATTTTAAACTAAGTTATTTCTAAGCAAAGTAGAATGATGGCTACAAAGATATAGAAAACTGTTCTTGCCAAATGGATTATTTATTTGTTGACATATGATGATATCACCAATAAAATTCTCCAGGTTCTATATGATGAGTGTTAATATTTGTTACTGGGTAGCGCTTGAATTTACATGTTAGTGACACTATTTAACTTAATTTATCAAATATTTATTAATTCTGTGTCAGACACTAGCACATTGTAACACAAAATCATTAATTTGAAAAAAACAGTAGTTTAATGTATCTGGTTCTTGCTTAATCTGTCTTATCTCCTGTCATTCTCCACTTTGCTTCTCTGCTGAAGTCACTTTTATGTTTCTCAAACTTGCAAAGCTTTTTCTGATCTTGGTTCTTTCAATTTATTCCCTTTGTCTAGAACTTTTGTCTCCAGGATCTTATGCAGACTCATAAGCTTTATTCTTTTTAATTGCCTCCTTACCACTTTATCTAAAAGATCTTTCTATTACATTTTCATCTCATTCAACTTTTCTGAAGAGTACTTAGAAATACATGTCAATTATGTGATGTACATATGTTTGTGTGTGTATTCTTTTTTATTCTGGAATATAAGTTGGTTTCAATAGGATAAAGACCTTTTCTTATATTTTAAGTGTCTAACACAGTACCTGGTATATGATAGATACTTAATAACTGTTTATTAATTGAATAAATACATCTAGTTTTACAAATCAAGATTTGTTGAATGTTGAATGAACTGAATTCATGTTGCCCGATAATGAATTTGTAATTTGGACTTCTATGGGAGAGATTATGCTTTAGTGGGGAAGACAGATATTAAATAACTAAGTAAAAGTAAAGATAAAATTATAAATTTTAATACTAAGGCTATTAAGTAAGTGGTAATCATTTTCATCGCTGTTTGATATTATGTAACTTGTATGTAGTACCTAGCATCTGAGAAGCTAATACAATAGACAATACATTTTAAAATATATATATATTTTATTGATTTTTTACAGAGAGGAAGGGAGAGAGACAGAGAGCTAGATACATCGATAAGAGAGAAACATCGATCAGCTGCCCCCTGCACATCCCCTACCGGGGATGTGCCCGCAGCCAATGTACATGCCCTTGACTGGAATCGAACCTGGGACCTTTCAGTCTGCAGACCGACACTCTACCACTGAGCCAAACCGGATTCGGCAATAGACAATACATTTTTACAAATTATTGAATTATTAAAAGTTATAGGGTTTTCATTGTGCAAAGTTGTATAATGACCATATAATAGAAATTTATTAATATTTTTATAGTTTGAAGAAAGCTACTTTAAAAAGTCTTAAGTATGATTTTTAAAAGTTAAAACTTTGTGTTTCAGAAAATGGTAATAGCTTTTGAGGATCTTCGTGTGCAAGCTGAGAATTCCAGACTAGAAATGCATTTTAAATGTAGGGATCCTATTTAATTTTTACATTTTTATAAATATAAAAATATTTTCATTAGATTCTGTTTATATTTTTATTACATTGTGTTAATGTGTTAATGTTTTCATATCTTCAACTTGATGCCTAGCTCTTTTAATTTTTGTATTGTATGCGATTTTGTAAGCCTCTCAGAATCTTGTGGAATGTGACAGTGAATTCACATATGTTTAAAAATATGTTTTTGGCTTCAAAGTTACATTTTTCCTGAAATAAAACTTACTATGGTTTATATTTAATTTTTAGAAGTGTGATTTGGTCTTATTTTTACATTTCTTGGTGAAGTTGCATATAAAAATAACTATGTATTTAAAATTTGTTATAAGGAATTTTTATATATGTGCTATATAAAAGTAGAATTTTTCATTTTTATTTTTTTATTGATTTTTTTTTTTACAGAGAGGAAGAGAGTGGGATAGTTAGAAACATCAATGAGAGAGAATCATTGATCAACTGCCTCCTGCACATTCCCTACTGGGGATGTGCCTGCAACCAAGGTACATGCCCTTGACCGGAATCGAACCTGGGACCTTTCAGTCCGCAGGCTGATGCTCTATCCACTGAGCCAAACCGGTTTCGGCTAAAAGTAGAATTTTTTAAAGTTATTTTTACTTTGCTATTAAGTTCCCTATTTTACTAAAATTACCAAGAAAACAGTTTTTGCTTGCTAGAAACATTTGGGGTTTGATATCTAACTAAGTAGATTTCAAAAATTTAAGTTTTGTTTGTTATACAATTATATTAATACTAGAGGCCCGGTACATGAAATTTGTGCATGGGTAGGGGGTGGCAGTCCCTCAGCCTGGTCTGCACCCAATCAAAATCCAGGACTGCCTTCCCCTAACCACTATACCTGCCTGCCTGATTGCCCCTAAATGCTCTCTGGGGGGCTCCTGGCTGGGGTGACGTGCCATGGTTGTTCTTGTCTCTGGTCATTCTGCTGTTTCAGTTGCTGTGCTTTTATTATATAGGATGTTAAAATATATTTGTTTTACTTTTAAAGTAAAGGAAGATTATGAAAAAATCCAACACCTTGAAGAAGAATATAAGAAGGAAGTAAATAACAAGGAAAAGCAGGTATGTTTTTAAAATTAACTTTCTGTATACTTGGTATTTGCTAATTTATAAAATATTTAAAATTCAAAAAGAAATGTATATTTGTTGACTATGATAGATTTCTATTAGATAATTTTAATATTATATATATTTAAATATTCAGCCTTTTCCCTAGCAGAATTAATTTCCATTGACTCAAATATGCAAATGTGATGAATGCTAGTCCTTTTAAAAAATTAATCTTCTACATTATTTATATTAATTAGTAATAGGACATTGCTGGCAACTGCTGGTCTAGAATGTTTATTTTCCCATGTTTGCCTAATTTCTATTTGTAATATTTGATTCAGTCTCTCTGAGAAGGATTACTTTTTATTACATCCCCCAAGATTGATAAAGGTGTTCCTTTCCCAATTCCTATAATCTTTTTGCCCTATGTTATATAATAATAGACATATATGTAAATTGACTGTACCTCCACTATGCCACCAGCCAATCAGGAGTGATATGCAAATTAACCAAACAAAGATGGCAGTTTATTTGCATACACAGCCGATGAGTGACAGCAGAGGGACACTTGTGTCGTTGCCATGGCGACAATGCAGGCGTTCTGTCCCACCCCCAGGCTTTCAGGGCCTCTGGGCAGCATGGGGATGCGGGGCCAGAGCTGAAGGAGGCTCTGGGGCCTGAGCGGAAGGGACTGGGCAGGAGTAGAAAGGTGGTGCAGGCAGCTAGGGAAAGGAAAGCTTATTCTAGCATGAATCTTTGTGCATCATGCTTCTCGTTACTAATATATTCAAGTAGAGTTGGTTTATCTACTAGTCTAGGCTATGAGTTATTTGAAGGTTAGTTCCTTTATGTCTCTGTACTCAATGCTTATGATTTTTGGAATGGTGAATATATATATATATATATATATATATATACACACACACACACACACAAACATATATAAAGCTAGGACTGGCTGACCGGTAAGTATGACATGGACTGATCACCAGGGGGCAGCTACTCAATGCAGGAGTTGCTGATCGATAGCAACTTTGCAGAGTGCCCTCTCACACACCGGGACTCCTCAGGGGATGTCAGACTGCTGGTTTCGGCCCAATCCCTGCAGGCCAGACCCAGGGACCTCATCTGCCAGAGGGACCCTGCTCACTCTGCAGATGCCCTTTGAGCCCTAGGCCACCTCAGGTGCAATAGGCCAGGAAGGACCCCGAGAGGTTGGCTCCAGGGCATGCCCAGCCTTTCTTGCCTAGTCCCGCCCCGAGGCTACCTTCTAATTTATTTCCTTTTCGTATTCACGAACCCATGCACCAGTTCTCTAGTTTATGGAATGAGCCAAGTAGATTTTATTATATAACCTCCTCAGTAATAAGTTAAAATGCATACTATAATACTGGGTGTGTCATATTATAGTTAGCTGCACCTAATGTCATTAATACGTTCTTGAAACAAAGTATAGTGAAATCAGTTTACCATAGGCTAATTGACATAAACAAAAATTAAGTTCCTACGTCATCTCATCAAAATTATAATGAAACATAATTTTTGAGGACCTGCCATAGTTTCTTCATTCAATAAAGGATTTTTTGGGCAAGCGTGTACTAAATACTAGGCATAGCCAGATAAAAATATATAAATAAGCACTTAAAATAATCATAGGTGATGATAAATGCTAAGGTGTTATATTTTATTTTTCTTATTTATAATATGTTATTTAAATATTCAATTTTAGGTATCACTGCTATTGATCCAAAACAACGAGAAAGAAAATAAAATAAGAGAGTTAACATTGCTGCTGGAGGAATCCAGAGATAAAGTGAATCAATTAGAAGAAAAAATAAGTAAGAATTTATATAATAAAATATAACACCGTGTCTTATGTATTCCTCTTTGTTATGCTTTAATTTTTGGCTTTCATTACAGTTTTGCTGTAATGCTTTCTAGTACTGTAATTCTAAGCCTGAGTGAACCTTACAAGGAGAGCATAATAGAGTCACTTAAAGAGCTTTTTCAAAGTACATACACTCCTCTTTTCATTTCATACTCTTATTTAGTTTCAAAAAAGTACTCTATGGCCGGGACCAGTTTGGCTCAATGGATAGAGCGTCGGCTTGGGGACTGAAGGGTCCTGGGTTCGATTCCGGTCAAGGGTATGTACCTTGGTTGTGGGCATATCCCCAGTAGGGGGTGTGCAAGAGGCAGCTGATCGATGACTCTCTCTCATCGATGTTTCTAACTGTCTATCTCTCTCCCTTCCTCTCTGTATAAAAATCAATAAAATATATTAAAAAAAAGTACTCTATGAAAATAGGGAGCTGTATCTTTTTGTTCACTGATGCATTCCAATAACAATTGATTATTTTAATGTTCTTTATATTTCATCCTGAATTTTTATCCCTTTTTAGGGAAATGGTTTGTTGGATGATATACCTCCCGCATTACACCAGTTTTAATTTTATGTATGTCATTTATAGAAGTTTTATTTAGTTTATGGACATCTTCCTTACCTCTGTTCATTTTTAAAGATTGATTGACATAATACTTATTTTTAAAAAACCCATAGTCAGTAATTAGAACATCTGAAATCTTTTCAGGTCCAAGTCTGGCTTTTGTTTTTTCTGCTGAATTTGTTTGTAGTGTTTTATTTTCTCTTGTGTTTTTTGATTGTAGGTCCTATAACTTCATCTGTGGAAATTCTTTAGGAACTGGGTTGGAAGTATATTTTTAAAGAGAAAATTTGCATTTGTAGCTCTGGGATCCTGGAAAAACTTAGGAGCACTTCAAATTAAGTTTTGACTTGGAGCTTTTTAAGACATTCAAACAGCATGCTTTCAGTTTCCACACACACCTAAGGACTAGTTTGTGGTTATAATTTCTCAGAGAAGACATCTGGATGACTATAATAAATAGTATCACAGTGGACACCATAGCTTGGCTAGCATGGCTTAGTGGTTTTTGTTTTTGTTTTTTCCTTTGGGGGGGCATTAATCCTCACCTGAGGATATTTTTCCATTGATTTTTAGAGAGAGTAGCAGGGAGAGGAGAGGAGAGAGAGAGAGAGAAAGACATCAATGTGAGAAAAAGACATCAGTTGGTTGCCTCCTGCATGCCCTTGGCCAGTACTAAAAATTGAGCCTACAACTAAGGTGCAATTTACCGGAATCAAACCCAAGGACCCACTGAGCCAAACCGGCTAGGGCAATTCTATAATTTTTAATAAATATTGTCCAAATTAATAATCAGTAGTACCTATATGGTCATTTGTTGTGGCTACATATTATACAATTGTATGTATGTATCACTATAATTTAATCTACCTCCTTTGGGATATTTAGATTGTTTTCAATGTTCAGCTATTATTAAAAATGTAGCATCAAAATCTTTATATATTCACCATTGAGTGTTGGGAAATAACAATCTTGAAAAGTCAATAAAAGTTGATGATGACCAATACCATCAGTATCTATATTTGCATATTTCTCCCTCATTTTGGGTTATCTAATAGAGAAAAAACAAGTTATTTGTTTTCTATTAAGTACTACTTACCTACAATTTTCTTTTTTAGAATTACAGAATGAAAACTTAAAAGAATCAAATGAGAAGAACGATCATTTAACATCAGAACTAGAAGATTGTAAAGTGTCTTTGCAAAGAAGTGCGGTATGATTTAAAAACTGACTAGCGTGTGATGAGTCTCACACTTATTCATCAACCAACAAATATTTATGGAATGATAATAGTATGTACGAAGACCCAGATCTTCAAATAGAGAAGATACAATTCCTGTCACAAAATGCTTATAGTTTAATTAGAGACATTAGTTGAAAGCACTTTAAAATATAACTAAAATACAAGATCCTTCATGCTAGGTACCAACAGTGTGATTAAGGCAAAAATTGCTGCGATAGCAGTAAGAATTATAATGCTGCAGGCTGGATGAGCTAGGAAGTCTCTGTAGAGAGGATGAGACTTTAGGTGGGCTTTGAGGAATGGTGAACTGAAATAAGATTAGTAGGTGGGTAGAGGAGGGAAGTAACAGGATAAGGAGTGACAGCAAATTACAGAAGCCGAGGAGTTCAGCTTTTTTTTTTCTTAAGGGCCTTGGATCATTGCTTTTGTTTTCTGCTTTATTTCATTCAGAGTACTCAAAAGGCTTTGGAGGAAGATTTACAGATAGCAACAACAAAAATATATCAGCTCACTGAAGCAAAAGAAACTCAAATGGAAGAATTTAATAAAGCTAAAGCTGCTAATTCACTTGTGGTTACTGAACTTAAAACTACCATCTGCAACTTGAAAGAGTTATTGGCAACAGAACATCAGAGGTAAAAATATTTATTTATATGAATAAAAAAGTCTTAATATTCAGTGCCATTTTCTATTCATTGTCAACTGACATGTAATTCCTGTAACAATTGTAACCAGTCTTTTTTTAAAAGTATAAACCGGGTAATACATTTTAAAAGTTTGTATTGGGTAGGCAGGTATACTAGGAAAAGATAGCAGGTATCTTCTAGGATTGTTCCCATGCATACTTTGCCATAGAGTCAAGCTAAATAGATAAACTGATACGTGCTGATGCAGTTATATGACATATTTAAACTGGGTTATTATTGGTTTCATAGAAATAACTTCTTCTGGGGAAGTGAGGTTTATTTTACTGAGGTCAATAAAATTCTGATTTACAAAATTAGAAATTAACCTGGTACAAAGAACGTACTAAAATATTTTTATTAAATCAATGGATTATTGAGTTAATGAATATGATTAATTATAAAATAAGCTATTCATTTGCATTTCATCTGAAATAGTTTGTCTAAAATGTGAGTTAAAAACTTGCTGTTTTTCATTATTTTATATTAAGGAAAAATTCATATAAAGCAGTGTTATGAGGCCTCGGTAGTTATTTTTGGAATTATGGTTATTAGAATTATGGTTAATTAGTATGAAAGAAACAAATTTTTCTCTGAAGTCATGGACTGGGCCTAACAGTATTTCTTCTCTTCTGCTTGTGTCTTATAAAGGAAGAAAAGCTAGCTTTTCTAGCTCAGCTAATCTTATATTCTTGATGGACCTATCTAGTTGATTTTCAAATTTTAGAACTGTAAGCAATTTTAGATGTCATCTATTCTAATTACCTCAGTTTTGTAGATAAGGAAACAGAAAGACAGAGGAGTTGAGCAAATTGCACATGTTTTCATAATTATATTGTTCCTGAGGCAGAATTCAGTATAGTAGTAGTTACATACTCAATCTCAAAGTTCTAGGATATATTTGATTACCATAAATAATTAAGAGAGATAAATTGTGCCGAAACCGGTTTGGCTCAGTGGTAGAGCGTCGGTCTGCGGACTGAAAGGTCCCGGGTTCGATTCCGGTCAAGGGCATGTATGTTGGTTGCGGGCACATCCCCGGTGGGGGGTGTGCAGGAGGCGGCTGGTCGATGTTTCTCTCTCATCGACGTTTCTGACTCTCTCTCTCCCTTCCTCTCTGTAAAAAATCAATAAGATATATTTTAAAAAAAAAAGAGATAAATTGTGATCACAAGTTTTTTTTGTAGATTAATTAATATACAACTATATATTTATATTAGCAATATTTTATTTTGAAGTATTACACTGTCCAGCACAGAGTAGGTACTCAAAAAATGCTTTATAATTGAATGAATGAATCTGTGCTAAGATATATTGTACCAATTTTAGTTATTAGATGAATTCTCAATAAAACAATATTTTACATTGCAAATTAATAATGTATTTTACAAGATTGGAAAAAAGTGAAGACCAATCGAAAATACTTACCATGGAGCTTCAGAAGAAATCAAGTGAACTGGGTAAGATTTAGAGAATTAAATGTATACATGATAATATTAGACAATTCTAAAAACATAAACACTATTTCAGAATAAAATGTAGTTTTTTCTTTGTCATTTACCACTATTCATTATTTGATAATTTTTTGATTTTTCAGAGATAGAAAAAAAATGTAAACCTTAAGAAAGACTATTCAGTTCATTATGTAGTTCAAACCTGACTATTTTGTGTTACAAATTTAAGAGCCATCTCATTAATTAAGTTCAAACTCTTTAAATAGGAGCTGTCTTTTCATTGCCCATTTCAATCAGTGTATACCAAGTTAGTTAAAGTTAATTGTAAATACAAAAACTTTATCAAATAATTTTTAAATTATGTTTAAAAACTTTTTTCAGCACACTGCTGGAAAATTGGTGATTTAGGGTACTCTAGTTACATGAATTCATTTCTTACTTTTCCCCTTTCAAATGGTATTATTCTTGTTTCTCCTTTCCTAGTCTTTTAATCCTAGCCTTTAACACATTTATATTCTTTTGCTTGCTTTAGAAGAGATGACTAAGCTTAACAATAACAAAGAAGTAGAACTTGAAGAATTGAAAAAAACCTTGGTAAGTCTTAATATAGAGTAATTACTTTTCAAAACTACCGACTTAGACTCTCACACTATAGATGTTTTATGTTAGTTTTTTTCCAGATAAACTATTAAAAAATGACATTTGGTTTTAATAAAGAAACATTCTTACTTATACTAATATTTATACATTTTAATAACTGTCTTCATGTCTTTAGAGGTTTTTAAACAATTTTTTAATTTATTGACTGAAAGAATGTGACAAGAAGGAAGGGTGTGAGAGAGAGACACAGAGAGAGAGAGAGAGACACTGAGAGACTTGTTGTTCCACTTGTTTATGTATTCCTTGGTTGATTCTTATAGGTGCTCTAACTGAGAATGGAACCATGATCTTCTGGTCAATGGGTCGATGCTTAACCACTGAGCCACATTGGACAGACTATTGAACATTTTTGTTTTTGTGTTAACGAGAGTTATTTGCCTGTAGTTTTCTTTTCTTTGATTGTCTTTGCTTTTGGAATCAGGCTAATGCTGGCCTAATAAAATTAATTGGAAAGCTTTTCTTTCATTTCTATTTTCTAAAGAGATTGTGTAGAATTAGTGTTATTTTTTTCTTTATACATTTCGTAGAATTCTCCAGTGAAATCATCTGGACATGGAAATTCTTTCATTGTTACAGAAGTACTCTAGTTACTTGCTTTATCTTGGGTGGATTTTGTAGTTTGTGATTTTTGAGAAATTAATACATTTCTCTGAAGTTGTCAAGATTTCTGTGCAGAGAGTTATTTATAATATTCCCTGTTAATCCTTTTAGTAAATTTTTATGCTTTGTGAGCCATGTGGTCTCTGTTGAAGCTATTCAACTTTGCCATTAATAGGGCAAAACAGGCATAGATAATACATAAAAAGATTGGCTATATTACAGTAATGCTTTATTAAAAATAGGCAGTGGTGGATTAGATCTGTGGGCTGTGTTTGCTGACCCTTGGTTATCTAGCATGATGAATTCAATTCTTGGCACATTACTTAACACATTGCACATCAGTAGTTTTATTGCTAGCTTTACCCAGTGCCCAGATAGTTTTCTATTGAACGAGTACAAAAAACATTTTACAAAGTATCATATTTTAAAAAGATATTAGCTTGTAAGAACATGTAATAAATACTTCAAAATGCAATGGGTATTTAATTTTAGGGCATGCCTTTAACATTTATGTCAAACACTGTGTAATATGAAAACACAAGAATGTTCGTGATCTGCCTGCAATGTGTTAAGATGGTATATTAACAAAGTGAGCCCATCCTGATGGAATGATGTAATTTGAAACTGTTTCATAGGAAGAATGAAGATATGCTTAAAGATTTTAGAATAGTTAAAAGAAAAGTTAGGGAGTAATATTTTTTTCAAATATTTACCAGTTGTCATGTGAAAGAGGAATTGGACTTTTATGTGATCAAAGAAGGCAGAATAATGACCAGTGCATGAAAGTTATAGTAAAGCACGTTTTTGTGTAATTATAAGGACAAACAGGATAGAATAATGAATGACTAGTAAGTGCTAATAAATTGGAGTGATTTATACATAATTGAGGTTTGACTTCATATGGCCTGTATGATTTTTATTTATTTATTTATTAATATATTTTATTGATTTTACACAGAGAGGAATTGAGAGGGTCAGAGAGTTAGAAACGTCGATGAGAGAGAAACATCGACCACCTGCCTCTTGCACACCCCCTACTGGGGATGTGCCTGCAACCAAGGTACATGCCCTTGCCTGGAATTGAACCCGGGACCTTTCAGTCTGCAGGCCGACGCTCTATCCACTGAGCCAAACCGGTCCCGGCTGATTTTTTTTTTTTAAATAAGAAAATTCCAGGGGTCTGTCCATACTTTGTTTTGGAATTTACTTAATAATGACAAACATTTTCTTTTAAGAAAAATTTTAGCCAAAGGGAAACTCATTATTTCTCCCCAACTTTATTTAGGAAGTTTGATTATTTTGAATATCTGTGTACTTTGATTGTTATGATTTGTTAATATTTTTAAATAGGCAGAAAACCAAAAGCTTTTAGATGACTTTGAGAAAATTGTTGAAGAATTAAAAGGAACAGAACAAGAACTAACGGGTCTTCTCCAAACCAGAGAGGTTTGTTTATAAAGGATACATTTTTCTTTCACATATTTTATTAGTAGAATATAGATTATAGAGTATATTATTGTATAGCCATTATCACAAGATTTATTTTTATTATTTTTAAAAAATATATATTTTATTGTTTTTTTTTTAAAGAGGAAGTGAGAGGGCCAGAGAGTTAGAAACATCGATGAGAGATGAAACATCAATCAGCTGCCTCCTGCACACCCCTCACTGGGGATGTGCCCGCAACCATGGTACATACCCTTGACCAAAATCAAACCTGGGACCCTTCAGTCCACAGGTTGATGCTCTATCCACTGAGCCAAACCAGTCAGAGCAAGATTTCCTTTTAAAGTATATGTTCCTGCTACATTTAATATGCTAATGATCGATTTAAAACACATCTAGAAAACTTCCATCTACACTAATAAAAGAGAAATATGCAAATTGACCATACCTCCACAATACCCACCATCCAATCAGGAGTGAGTATGCAAATAACCTGACAAAGATGACAGGTTAATTTCCATACACAGGTACGGAGCAGCTGGGGGTGGGGGAACTGCTTGTGCACCAGTGCCAAGTGGCTTGGGTCCCAGGGATAGGCGTCCTTGGGAGCCAGGTCGCTCTGAGCCTATAGGCCTGTGCTTAGGCTCGGAGCAGCTGGGGTCCAGGAACACCCCTCCCAGCCACACCAGGCCTATGTGCGCAGTTGCGGAGCAGCCGGGAGCGGGGTGGGAATGTCCCTGGGACCCAGGTGCTCTTAACTGGCGCCCATGCAAGCAGCCGGGGGCGGGACAGGAACATTCCTCCCAGGGAGCGAGCAGTCAGCAGGGCCCTGCTTGCCCCTGGCCCTGGAAGCTAGGGGCAAGCAGTCCCCTACAGAGAGCACCTATGGTGGCGTCAAGCAGGCAGGTCTGCAGAGAGCAGAGAACCACAGGGAGCAGGCCTAAGCCACCAGGAGGACATCCCTGAGGGCTCCCAGATTGGAGAGGGTGCGTGTCGGGCTGAAGAACACCCCTCCCCATGCACAAATTTTGTGCTATATATAATGTGGGAGTGAAAGGTCAATATTTAAGGTATCAATAGTATGTACACAATGCCATGGCTTGTAATTACATTTATTGATACCTTGAGTATTTCTTAATATATTTAAAAGTTAGCCTTTATTAGGTTATTAGTTTACAGTAGTTTTTATAGTGCTCATGTTATAATTTTAGAATGAAATTATTTGAAAAAGTATGTTTTCTGTTCATAACAACATTGTAACTATCTTTTTATAATAATAACAGCTTAGTATTTAAGATGCTGATTTTACTAATGTTTCTTCTTAATATTATAGCATTTAATTAATTAATTTTAAAAAATATTTTTATTGCTATCAGGAAGGGGGAAGGGGAGAGAAATTAAAACACCAATGATGAGAGGGAACCATTGATTTGCTGCCTCCTGTATGTCCCCACTGGTGACCAAGCCAGCAATCCTGACATGTGCCCTTGACCAGAATCAAACCCTTACCTCCTGGTTTATAGGTTGGTGCTCAAGCACTGAGCCATGCTGGCTGGGCTATATAGCATTTTAATTGAAATTATGTAATAGAGTAAAAGTGACAAAAATATTTTAAAATGTGTAAATATAATTTTACTGGTTAGCTTCAAAATATCAAGATGAAATTTACTTATATTACATTTATCATTGCTCATTGCTTTAAATTATAATGGTTATGGCACTGAATGTACTTAAATTTAAAAAATTTGATATATTTTACCACATTTTTGCCAAATAAATGACCTACTTGCATCGAGTTTTTTAAATGAGAAAATTGTAAAAATATTTGCTATGGTTATACACATTTATTTTTCAGAAAAAAGAACATGATTTGGAAATTCAATTGACTACCATTGCCACAAGTGAACAACAATATTCAAAACAGGTTCAAGAACTGAAAACTGAGCTTGAAAATGAGAAGTATGCTTCCTATCTGTCTATGAAAGAAACATCTTCTTAGGTTTTCTAGTATTTAATATTAAATTAGTGAATTATAAAGTTGTATTTTATTCATAAAGATCAAAATAATTTATCAATTTTACTAAGGGAAGTACATATCATTTACATAAAAAGTTCATCAGAAAGTTAGGTACTGCTTAAGATGAAACATTTCTTAGAGATAGTTGGTTTCTTAGAAAAAAACATTTTTATTTGGAATTCTAACTAGTAGTTATTTTGATTGATTTGCTAAATTATCTCATAGGTTTGAATTGATGAAATGCCAGTGAGAAAATACGATTTCATTTCTTACATTGTCCAAATAAAGTATAAAATTGAATGATTTATCTACTCAATAAGTTTAATTTTGAGAAAAAGTGAGAGGAAAAATTATTATATTATTATTTATAGAGAAGTAAACTCAAGTAGCCAATCTAGCGGTGAGCATAATTTTTTTGGTTGCTTCTCAGCTCTACATAAAAATGAGAAGCAAGTAGTTTATTCAGGATCTTGTTTCTTTCCTTTCAGCTCCCGTTCCCTCCTTTGGACATATTTTCAACAGTGCTTTTTTAGGGGTTCTGGATAAAGTTTAATAACCAAAATCCCTTTTGATAAATAGGCTGATTAGTTATTTATACTTTAGTATAAATTTGTTATCTTCATTTATTTGCCTTTTCAACCTTTCATTTATTAATGAAAACTTTTATCTATTTTTTGATGAATTTCCATTAAAGTAGTAGGAGATAAGTGCTCCTGAAATCATCCCTAGAACCACACATTCCCCTTCACTTTAAATTGATCCTTGCTGCAACCAATAACAGCAGTAATCTCTCTTCCAAGGCAGAGCATGAGGCCTCCTATTATTAGAGCAGTTTAAGTATTTGCACAAAGGTTAAACCTCGTTTTCTTTATTTTAATTTAAAATATGTCATGCCTCATATATTACTTTAATCAAATCAGAAGCTTGAAACAGTTTCTAAGAGACAGTCTATTAGAAAGAAAAATACATGAAAAAATATACTTTTTAACATTTGTGGAAAAGTAATGGGGGGTAATGGTGTGGGGAGTATGCAGAGAAATATATATCATGAAAAGTTTATAGAATAATTTCAAACATGTACAAAGTAGGGACGTAATAAACCAGCATGTATCTGTCACCCAGTTTCAGAAATTAAGTAGCGGCCAAACTTACTTAATTTATAACCATAGGTTATAATCCCTGCTTTCCTCTAAGGTTATTATGAAGTAAATTTCACATCATATAATTTCATACTTAAATATTTTGATATGACATATTTTTTTAAAAATAGGCTTAAGAATACTGAATTGACTGCAAGTTGCAACAAGCTTTCACTGGAGAATGAAGAATTAGCACAAGAAACAAGTAAAATGGCCTTAGAACTTAAAAAACAGCAAGAAGATATTAATGTGAGTTGAAAAAGAAAGTACCAATGATTTAGTTTTCTTACCTGTAAAATTAGGGAGTTAGAATAGATGATCCAAAAATTCATTCAGTTTTCAAAGTCTAATTATCTTAGAGCTGTTACTTTATTTTAGAAGAAAAATATATATACTGATTTTACATGGTGATAATGAGCAACAGAATATAGAGGCTACCCAATGATAAAGTTAATTAATTTTAAGCATCAAGATTTATATAAAGTATTCAACAAGTAAAGTAATTCATATGAGACACTGGAGGGTATGGTCATCCTCTTTAGGAGCTTATAACTCAAGAGAAAAAAATTGCTCAAATAGCTTAAAAATGCTCAAATAGCTTAAATAAATAGTATATGCCTTATTTTTGGGACAAAGTGTTACCTGCATCCATAGGATCACTTCTGCCTTGGTGGAAGAGAAGGCTTTAGAGAAATGTAGTGTTGATTTTAGCCTAAAGATAAGTAATTATGAGTTCAGTAGGTGACAGTGAGTGGAAACACATTCCTAGAAGCCACAGCAATATAAACAAAGGATGTGTCTCAAACTATCATTGGGAAACAGCAAATAACACTTGTTTTGTTAGCTGTTTGAATAGAGATTGTTAAGGAAATGAAGTTTGGAAAAGTAGTGTGGAACTATACAAGTTAGCCCATTCTCTTGATTTATATATAACTAAATGAATTTTATGCTGATAAAGCTCTTAAATATTAGTTTCAATTTTATTTTTGTTGCAACAGGATAAATAATATGAATAATATTATTTCTTTAGAATAGCAAAAAGCAAGAAGAAAGGACATTGAAACAAATAGAAAATCTGGAAGAAACAGAAACACGATTAAGGCAAGACTAATAAGTTGATGGCCTCTTTTGTCTGGCAAAGATTTTAGTATTCTTTTCTATTAATTTATTATAGTTAATTTAGGTTAAACTTACATTGAATATAATTTAAAGTAAAAATGAGAGTTAAATTACTGCTTTGGAATTCTGTTTAAAAATAATGTTGTAATAATGTCTTTTATATTCAGTGTTGAAATAGTGAGATTAGACATATTAATTTTAAAAGCATCATAGCTTTCCAATATTTATTATTTATTAACTAAGAATATACACTAATCATGCCAGAAAATTTAGAAGAGAAATAAAAAATAGTATTTTAAGCATTAGCCATGTTTCTAGGCATTTTCACAATCGTCTATTGTAATGCCTATATCCCAGATAATCAAATGGATATAACATTTTTAACTTTTATTCTTTTATATTTTTGTATATTTATATTTTACAGTTTTTCACTATCATAAATAATACTGTATTAAACATCTTAGCAAATATAGATCTTTTTCTTATTTTGAATTTGATAGGATAAATTTCAAGTTAAGTAGAATTTATTGAGTCAGAGGAATAATTATTTCAATGAAGAATAAAATTGAGCAAGACTAGCTTTCTTGCCTTTGTCTCTGTTATATAGTTTCTCTCCCCAGAGGAATCCCTCTTACCTGTGTATGTTTCTAGAGATACTCTGTTACATATATAAGGTTATATGTGTATGCAGATTTTTCAGTCATGTAGTTTTTCATTAAAATCACTGTATTTATGTATCTAATTTATTTTAATAAAATTATGACTATGTCTTAGAATAATGATTAATTTATGACTAAGAGGACAGTAAAGTGAAATTTTGACTTAAATTAGGACAAGCATTTCTTTCCAGGAGTTTTTTTTAAGTAGAAAAGTAACTATAAGTGTGCAGATAATTAATTTAAAAATAAATGTAATTTAAATATGAGAGTGAATTGTGTCAAATTAGTATTAAGACATGAAAAACTACCCAGCAAAATGAAAATATAAACCAATAAAGTTAAAGTTAATCATTTTAGAAATTCAGAAAGGGAATAAAATGAAAATATAAGTTTTATCTCATTGCCACTCTTCCATTTCCTTTAAGGAATGAACTGGAATCTGTGAGAGAAGAACTAAAGCAGAAAGGAGATGAAGTTAAATGTAAATTGGACAAGAGTGAGGAAAATGTATGTTATATTTTATAATAAATCATATCACAGAATTTCCAATCATAAAAGCAATACCTCATATTTAAAAGTGTGAAGGCCTTAACTGTTTTTTTTTCATTCATTAACAAATATTATTGACTACTTACTATGGGCTAGGAACTGTTCTGGGTGCTGACTTTAAATTTTATTTGTTTTGGTAGACAATGGTGATCCAATTTTTTATTTTATTTCAGGAAATGATATTTTAATTTGTAAGAATGGAATAGGACATCCTTCTAGTGGTCCCAGGCTGGAGAGGGTGCAGGCTGGGCTGAGGGACACCCTCCTCCCGTGCATGAATTTCGTGCTCGGGGCCTCTAGTTAATGTGTAAACATGAACACAAAGACACGAAGACAGTTTTTAAAAGAAAGGGTACTGAAATAATCTGGGAGTGCTGATAAATTTTTTGTTTGTGGTTCTTAATCCTCACCTAAGGATAGTTTTCTATTAATTTTTTTTTTTTAAAGAGAATGGAAGGGAGGGAGAGAGAGAGAGTAAAACATTGATTTGAGAGAGATACACTGATTGCCTCCCACATGTACCCCCACCAGGGCCAGGGATCCAGCCTGCAACCAAGGTATGTGCCTTTGACTGGAATCCAGCCCGGGACCCTTCAGTCTGCCAGTCTGAGTGAGGGCTGATGCTCTGTGCATTGAGCAAACCAGCCAGGGCCTGATAAATATTTTTGTAAAAACAAAAGGTTGAGTTTTATAATTCTATTTCTAAAATAAACTTGTAGAAGAAAATAGTAATTCTGTTAACATTTTAAATCTGATGTCAAATATTATTTTTTAGGTTCGAAGCCTTGAATGTGAAGTTTTAAAGAAAGATAAACAAATGAAGATATTAGAAAACAAGGTAGTATCAAATTGCAACAGGTTTGGAAGTAGAGACTTTGTAACAAAGTATGAATAGATTCTTTAGGGCCAACCTTTACACTTTTGTTAATTCTCACCTGAGGATATATTTTAAGGGAGAATGGAAGATAGAGGAACATGGATGTGAGAGAAACACATTGATTGGTTGCCTCCTGTGTGCACTCCAACCAGGGCCCCGGCTGGGAGGTACGTGCCCTTGATTAGAATTAAAACCATGTCCCTTTGGTTCACAGGCTGGTGCTCTATCCACTGAGCCAAACTGGCTAGGACCAGCCTTTACACTTTCAACAGTCCTTATATAAATCTCAATTCGCCTTTGAAGGCTTTGAGGAGTAATGTAGAATTTTTATTGTAGGTCTTTGAAGTGGCTCCGGGTTCAGGATTTTTTTGCACAATGATTTAAAGAACAAAGTTTCGCCGAAACCGGTTTGGCTCAATGGATAGAGCGTCGGTTTGGGGACTGAAAGGTCCCGGGTTCGATTCCGGTCAAGGGCATGTACTTTGGTTGCGGGCATATCCCCAGTAGGGGGTGTGCAAGAGGCAACTGATCGATGACTCTCTCTCATTGATGTTTCTAACTCTCTATCTCTTTCTCTTCCTCTCTGTACAAAATCAATAAAATATATTTAAAAAATAAAAATAAATAAAAAACAAAGTTTCATTGAATTCCTCATAGATATCTCTTCCCTTTTGCAAAATTTCATACTCTGTGCAGCTGCATTCGTTGTGGATATCTTTTAGTGTGATAGGATGTTTTTGTTTTGTTTTTTAAATCATTCTTAGACATCTTTCCCATCTCTCCAGAGAACTGCAGAAAAATTTCTGCTTCATTTATGTGAAGTGTTCTTGCTGGCTGCCTATTCCAATTCACTTTTCCCTTCTCTGTACCTCACTCCACATGGGTCCTAAACCTGACTTTCTATCTAGAGAGGAGTCCTCTGGAAAGTATAGTTCACTTTCTGTAGTTTTGGTCTCTAATAACACCAATTTTTTTTTTTCCTACCTAGAATTCTGATGATTAAAATTATTACTCTGCATAAGAGTTATTTACTTAAAAATTAACTGTGATAGTTTAATACCTTTTCAAGATTTCTGGGCATTCCACCAAACGTATTTATTTTAATTAGTCCTACATTTTGAGATTATTTAAATTTAAAAGGTTTGAAAATTTGAGTTACTTTAATTTTCATTAGCTTATTCAGAAAGAAGGGAGAGTGAGATGGGGCAGTGAGTGTTGTAAGAAAAATATTTAACAGAATTTTGTGCTAATGTGGGAGATGGAAATTTTTTTCATTAGAATTTCTTTCTACTTCAATGGAAATTAGAATGATTTACATATATGTAATGAAGGGACCAATAAAATTTATGCTGCTTTTATTGTACTCCACATATTTTGGGGGCCAGTACCTCTTATTCCAGTTCTGCATGTGTACCCAGATATGTGAGTTATTAAAAAAAGTGAGATATTAAAAAAGTGTTCAGCTGATATATTTTTTAAAACAGGAATTAAAATGTAGCTAGGAAGAGACAGACTATTATATTATTTCCTTCTCCTATAGATAATATGTACAAGAAGTCTCAGAAATGAAAATTGAATTGTTTTTAAAATAGTTGAATTCAAATGTTCTTTAAGTATATTAAGAATTGTTAAAAATTTCAAATTTGTATTGAGATCATTGTTAGTAAAATTTGTACCCATTCACATGATTTTAGATGTTAATGGAATCATTTTAACTATTACTTTTTAAGTGACTTCTATATTAATTTATGTAATATTTTATTAATTTGAAATTACTTATGTTGGCTAGAATATTGAGTAAAATAATTATAATTTCTCTTTTTTTAGTGTAACAATTTAAGGAAACAAGTTGAAATTAAAAGCAAGAATATTGAAGAATTCCAACAGGAGGTATGTATTGATTCTCAATATCAAAATTATTTTAAAAGATTTTTTTCACTTCAGTTTTAGAGAATAATGCTTTCCTTTCCTGTAATAATTGCAGTCTGAGTAAGGTGGCAGTGCAAATTTGAATCACTTGGGTACTAAACATAATTTTTTATTTTTAACTTTTAACAGAATAAGGCCTTGAAAAAAAGGGGTACAGCAGAGAGCAAGCAACTGAATGTTTATGAGATAAAGGTATTTGGAATCATTATTTTCATTTTTTTTAAAATAGTAGTAAATAGATGAGAATATAAGAATTCTCAATTTGTATGTTATTCCTCAATTTGTATGAGGTTTCAGTTCTGCAAGACAAATTAGTTCTAGAGATCGGCTGTACAGCATAGTGCCTATAGTCAACAATAATGCATTGTGCACTTACAAATTTATTAAGCCCTGACCAGGTTGCTCAGTTGGTTGGAACATGTCTGTATATATCAAAAGATTTTGGTTTGATTCCCAGTCAGGGTATATATCTAAGTTGCGGGTTTGATCCCCATTTAGGATATGCGTGGGAAGCAACTTATCAATGTTTCTCTCTCACTCTATTCCTTCCTCTCTCTCTAAAAAAACCAATGAAAATATCTTCGAGTGAGGATTAAAAAAACAAAACATTTTACCAAATGAAAAAAGGAAAATGATCCAACTATAATCTCCATGAATAAGTAATCTTTAAAAATCCGAAGAACCTTAAAATGAACAATATTGTCAAGAAGTCCACAGCATTTACTAATGTTCATGCTACTTTTATTTTTTTTATTTTTTACACAAAGGTCAAGAAATTAGAGTCAGAACTAGAAGGTGCCAAACAAAAATTTAAAGAGATGTCTGACAGCTATAAAAAAGAAATTGAGGACAAAAAGATATCAGAAGAAAATCTTTTGGGAGAGGTAGGAAAATTAAATATGTGTGAGAATTTGTTATATTAAAACTCTGTTTATTAAGTAGCATTTTAAGAGAAAAGTAAAGATTTTTAAATTATGACTTTTAAAGGCATAATAAATTTATATTAAGGACAGTTTCTTATAGAAGCTAAAAGTATCCTTGTTATTCTGTTTGAGTATTGAGTAGTATACAATTATTTTGAAAAGATTAAATGATCATTACAGTGTTATACTGTCATGTATAGAGGACCCTGTAATAAACCAAAACAGTAATGCATTTCTTTACTTGGCTTTTCTAAAATTCTGGTGTTGGATTTCTGCATTTTATATACTAGCATATGGTCTCTGCATTTTGTATAATAATATATGGTCTCTAAGTTTAAGTTAAATTTGTTTTTTGTGTTTAATTTTAATAAACACTTAATTGATTTGATAGGTTGAGAAAGCCAAAGCAACAGCTGATGAAGCGGTACGATTACAGAAGGAAATTGATATACGATGTCAACATAAAATAGCTGAAATGGTTGCACTTATGGAAAAACATAAGGTAATTTTTTCTGTTTTGTGTAATGAAAATTATATACTGGAACCATATTTATGCATAAAATGGTGAAATTAATATAGCATTCTGATATATCAGAAAAATAAGTGGTAATTTTCTCTGATAATTATAGATATTTATAGTTATAGATATAATTGTAGATAATTATAACTGGAATGCCCTTGATCTCCCATTTCTCTGGGTTTAAATCTTAACCACACAAAGCTTACCTTGAGTGTTACTTTGAGAAAATCTCTTATGATGGATGGAAGTGGTCATTCTTTATCTGAATTTTCCTAGTATTCTCTTATAGCACTTTCCATCCAGGATATGTGTTTTGTTAATATTTGTATCCTCTATGTGTGTCTAACATACATAGGCTAAGTGAATTTTTATCAGTGGAATAAATAGATGAAAAGCTTAATGTGTGTTGTATTTGTGAGTGTGCTCTATTTTCTACAGTTGTTTAAAGTAATAATTCTGTTAGCGAATTAAGCCTTATTCTCTTCAGGTGACTTATATCTACCTATTCATCTTTAAAAGTTATTGCTGGGATAGAACATTACTATGAGGTAACCAGTGAGGATTAAAAAAAACCTTTTAAGTAAGTTTGTGAACTTACAAGTTTAAACATATTTGGCATATTTCAGCCCAATGCAGGTTTTATATTTGTCTCATCTTTGGCTAGTGGAAACCTCTTCACACTGGTACAAGTTCTTTTTGGCTTGACTTTAATAGTCCTTGATAGCTTGCTTGCTTTCTCTATTAACAACATTTAAGACTCATCATGTATTTCCTACTTCAGATCTGGAATCAGCCACTTTTCTAAGAGGTCCTGTTTTTAAAATTAAGAAATTCAGTGTTTCCAATTAAAAAGAATAATTTCTTGCTCATGTGTTGTTATTTTCAAGACAGTTATCTAGGTTTCATTGCTTATGCAATTGAAAAATTTCAAAAATGTGTTTAAAAATATAGTCATTGTTTTCTTTAAATTTTAAATGTACAAGGATATCAGTCATATTAAAGCATATTAAAGCATAATCTATTTGGGCTCTAAAACATTTTTTCTGTTTCATATAGCACCAATATGATAAAATCGTTGAAGAAAGAGACTCAGAATTAGGACTTTATAAGAGCAGAGAACAAGAACAATCATCAGTGAAAGCATCTTTGGTGAGATACAGAATCAGTAGCCATAAAAGCCAATTTTTATGTCAACATAACTGCTGGTAAAGAGTAATATTAAATAAAGCCATAATTTTTTGTCATTGCCTCCTGCAAGCTCCCCAACAAGGGCCAGAGCCTGCAACTGAGGTACCTGCCCTTGACCAGAATTGAACCTGGATCCTTCAGTCCAAGGGCTAATGCTCTATCTGCAGAGCCAAATTGACTACAGCTTGATATGATGTTTGAGTTGTAGAATAAAAAAACCCTTAGATCTAAAAGAAATCTTATAGTTAAATAGGCTTCCAATTTATTTTTTGAAATGGTGGAATGAACTCTTTCTCCCACAAATGAATGCTTATAAACTACAGTTACAAATAAGTTTGGAGCTGTGATTGAGATTGGGAGAGCTGGGAAGGGGGAGAGTGGGAGAGAATGAGGAGAAGAGATATATAGTATTAATATTTCTTTAGAATCCTATATCATAAAAGCCAAATATGCAAATTGATTGAACAGCAGAACAACCGTCCAGCAGGGGGTGGGGCCAGCCACTTGCCAGCCAGTACTGGCCTCATCCCCCCATCGGCCTGCCGGTAGCCTCCCGCAGCAGAGGGAGGCCAAACTGTGACTTAGGCCTGCTCCTGGGGAGCGGGATAATCCCCCGGCTCCTCGGCCGGGAGAGGGCACAGGCCGGGCTGAGGATCCCCCAGCCCGAGTGTGTGAATTTTCCTGCACCGGGCATCTAGTAAACTATAAAATACTATAAAATGAAATCGTTAGTTATGTTCAGGTAGCAGCCTTCGTATTAGTAGGCTTAAAGTATATATATAAGTAATTTATTTCTCTATAAAATTAAATTTGTTTGAAACACTAGTTTGCATTTATATGTATGTAAAAACTTTGTGTGTTTTTTCTTTAGGAGGCTGAACTATCCAATCTCAAAAATGAACTTTCGTCTATTAGGGAACAACTTGAAATAGAAAGAGAAGAAAAAGTAAGTTTTGTGGCATTATAAAGTAACTAATTATAAGGTTATTGAATAGATACACCCTTATCACCCTAATCTCCAGTAAAAGTGATTTATTATTTCCCAAGCATTTTTTGTTTTTCTATACTTTATCCTTCATCTCTTAATTTCATGTTGAAAGTTCATTATTCAAGAACAACACAGAGAAAAAGTGAATTCTACCTCTAACGGCACATAATATTTTGGATCTCTTAGCAGCTCTTTGTAGTTAGCTACCTGTGTGTATTTCCTTACTTTATAAATCTGGTCCATCCACTTCATTTTATGAATGAGAAAATTGTGATTGAAGTTTTTAAGAGACTTACTCTTAAGATATTTGAAACTAAATAACATTCCTGTAGAGAAGAACTAATTCATTTTTCTATTTTTTATTATTTTTATAAAATTTGTAGGTCAGTATTTTTTTCTTGTTCATACTTCTTTGATAATAGGAACATTCATTGTGATAATAGTAATGATTACATTGTATGTACTTGATATTCATTTTTAATAGGAAAAACTCAAAAGAGAGGCAAAAGAAAACACAGTTACTCTCAAAGAAAAAACTGACAAGGTAAGAGTTTTATATAATTTTCAGTTTTCTTTATAACCAATTCACTTTCTTACATTCACTTAGAAATTGTTTTTGTTCATAAATAGGAAAAAAAAACATTTGAAATATATCACACAATTTTATTTCCTAAGTTGTTTCTTGCTATTTATTAAAAAGCATTTGCTAAAAACTTTAAAGCAGTTGTCACTTGGAGACTTAGAGAAGTTTTCAACCTTCTATAAGTTTAATTACAGTATTATCTTAAATTAGATAGGTACATTTGTGTTTCTTGACCATTTTCTAATGTTTAAAGGCAAAATATTTTCCTTAAAAACTCCAAAGCTTATATTTAGACTAGAGGCCCATTGCACAATATTTGTGCAAGAATAGGCCCTTGGCTTCACTCCCAGCTGCCTGGGAGCCAGCAAGTCCCGGCTCCCTGGCTGCCGGGTGCCTGCTTCTGTCTAGAACTACGTTCCAGTAGCTCCCTCCGCTGCCCCCTTCCCCTCATAACAGGCTTCTTACCTCCATCTTTGTTGGGTTAATTTGCATACTCTGATTGGCTGTGGGTATAGCAGAGTGATGGTTAATTTGCATGTTTCTCTTTTATTACGTAAGATTATGTCTAGTTTTGGGTTTGATTGGCCTAAATAAATGATATCCTGCTTTTCTTAAGTCAGAACCAACTGAGAAAGACAAAACCAAAATAATATCTTTGTTATTGATAAGTAATATTGAAGAATGTAGCTTTTATTTGAAGAAAAGGGGATTTCTTAATCCTGAAACCCCAAATTAGACATTTTGTTTACTTTGTCACAGTAGATCGGAACTGAGACAAGTTATCCACTTTAAAATGGCTGCTCTTGTAAAACATACGGCATAAAGGAGAGCGGAATGTGTGCTTTCTCTGGTACCCAAGAGTAAGTGTAAGGAAGGGCTTAAACTATATATGTCCAGTTTCTCCTTTCAAATTCACTAGTCCAATTAAGTCATTATTCTTCCCCTAAGAAAACAGAGATTAGGAATGTTACCGTGGTGTCACTTCCTACACATGGAAGGAAGCACCGGTATGTGTAAGGGGGCTACCCCTCCCTCAGCTTCTGATACATAACAGAAGAATTCTAAGTGCACGTTTTAATGATTAAACATTCTTTTGACGCAGTGATGTAGTCGGTCCTAGGTCCCCACAGAGGTTGCTTTTGACTATAAACTGAAAGTGACAGTAGCTGAGAACTGTTGAGTGTTAAGTATCCAGCGGTTGTCAACCGGTGGTCCGCAGACCACTGGTAGTATGTGAGGTTCAAAGGTTGGCAACTGCTGGGTACAACAATTTTGTTGTATTTGGGTTCAAAGAAAGAGAAGGAAAGAAATAATATACCTTTGGATGAGTATTGAGTGCTTCATATGTTCCAAATACTGTGGTAGGCACTTTAAAAAATATTTCAAGAAATTCTTATCATATTAAAATTAGCCAGCAGAATTAGGTAATAGTCTAAGAGAAGTGTTGGATAAAGGTAAATAAATTGGTTAAACTCTAATATCTATTTCCAAATATAGAATGTATTCATACTATGCAGGTATATATCCCAATTTGTTATAAAGTTGTTTTGACTCATGTATAATTCCACTAATATATGCCTGTTATTTATATCTGTAATCAAGTACATTAGTAAATGCCTTATATTGTATCTGGGGTCTGGATATATATGGAAAATATTGAGAAAATGAAAAAAGAAATAATGTAAATTGCTTTTATTTGGATTCTTTATTCTAAAATTATGGAAACATCACAAGTCTATATTATAAATATAATGTTTATCAAACATTTCTGAGTTTGGGCAAGTTACTTAACTTTCTTATGCCTTAGTACCCTCATTTATAAAAGGGTAATAAGAGTACCTATTTCCTAAAGTTATGAGGATTAAATGAAATGGTATTTGTAAAGCATTTAAAATAGTGCTTATTAGCACATAGGAAATAACCATATAAGTGCTTAAAAAGTATAACAGAGAAAATCATGAATGTTCTGAATATATGTATCACGGGAAGTGTAAGCTTAAAAAAGAAACTTGTGGGAAAGTGCATACATCTCCATGATGTGTTATGGAGAGGGTTATGTCAGTGTTCCAGAATGAGGGGGGTGTGTTATGGAGAGGGTCATTTCAGTGTTCCAGAATGAGGGGGATGTGTTATGGAGAGGGTTATGTCAGTGTTCCAGAATGAGGGGGGGTGTTATGGAGAGGTCATTTCAGTGTTCCAGAATGAGGGGGGGGGCGTTGTGGAGAGGTCATTTCAGTGTTCCAGAATGAGGGGGGGGTGTTGTGGAGAGGGTTATGTCAGTGTTCCAGTATGAGGGGGAGTGTTAGGAGAGGTCATTTCAGTGTTCCAGAATGAGGGGCGGTGGCATTTTCTTTTAGGCCGCCAGGCCACCAGGAAATGTGGATTCTCCCGCATGGCCACATGGTGGTGTAGTTGCCATTGTCAGTCTTTCTGGGGAGAAACATTTGTCCAAGAAAGCAGTTAGTTTTGGAGATTACTAATGAAGCCACGAAGGAGAATAACTTTGTTTTCCTTAAAATTGTGCTATTAACTAGGATGTATAAATGTTTAGGAAAAAGAAAGCAGAAGTGCAACTGTGAAAAAATGTTTCTAAGATTCATACCTATTGGAAAAAGGACTATAGAGTGAGATCACTAAGGCTAGTCAAGAAACCTACCAATCACCTTGATTATATAGATGGATAAATTTAAGCCTTGGAGATACTTAATGATTTGGTTAAAATTACCTTGCAAAGCAGTAAAAGTTCCTGGAGAAAAGAGCATACTTGATTCCTATTTCAGTGTTTTTATAACACTTGTGCCCTGTCCTAGTCCTGCACCCTGTGCCCTCCTGATTGAATAGTGACCTATTCTCACTGCAGATTCAGCCACCAGCCTTGAGAAAGTGTGGCCTCCCCCGCCTTTTTGTTGTGTGTGCGGCTTCCTTCTTTCTTGGGAGTGGTTGCCTTGAGTGTATTCATGGAGATGATGGTAACCAATAATAAGTAATAGGCATGAGTTTCACATAGGGTTCCACTCAAGCAGCTATTGTTACTAGTTTTTACTGGAAAGCTGGGTCAGGTGCTGAGGTAACGATATATAAAGGCAGAGAGAAGGAAACCAAATAAATTGAGTTGAAATAATATTTAAGTATTTAGAGTAAATTTGCAATTTATTTTCAGAATGGTAGCAAATAGCTACTTTATCATTTTTTCCTGATAATTTCTCTAGTTCTTTGCTATCATCATTTTTGTTCCCCCATTTTTTTTGAGGGAGGTGAGGTTGGTGGATAGGAAAAGGCTAACATTTATTAATAGATAAGAGAATGAAAGCATAAAAGAGAATGAATGGAAATGAGAATAAATTGCTCTCTAGTTTTTAGACTATTAGACTGAACCATGGATTAAGGCATTTTGCCACCAGGAATAGAGATTTTTGTTTACAGAATCCTCAGTTTTTTACCAGATAGAGTTTTCTTTGTTTTCATAGCAGCTCCCTGAAGACAGGAATGGGCAGATACCATTTTCATCTTAAATAGAAAAATAAAGTGACAATAAATGAGTTATTTAATTTAATCAATATGTAATTTATTTTGGGGGTAAATTTTAGTTTTTTCCGACTAGTTGCTACACTGTAATTTAAATGACACTTAATGATGATTTTATTCATTTCTGTTGTCTAAAATAGAAAATACAGACATCGTTATCCGAAACACTTACAACCAATTATCGGAAATTTGATCCTAAAGCAACTCCTTCACAAAATATATCTCGAAACTTCACATCAGCTGATTATGGCAAACCCAAAGAAAAAAAAGACAATCTGAGGACACCTGCCAAAAGTACTGTATCTGAATCATTTCCAAAGGTGGGTTGGTAAAATTTCAAAAGTAGTAATTTTTTAAATTAAAAAAAAATTGGTATTACATATCAGACATACTAGTAGGTATAAAACCAGTTTCTTACAAGTTTCAATTTTTTGTGATACCAACATGGAGTGTGTGTGTGTCTGTCACTGGCCGCAACTTAATGGCATCTCGGCAGCTTTCAGAGCTTTCTAGCATCCACCAGTGTATAGCCCCAATGTGGGAAGTGGGTCTGAGTTGACATTTCCCTGTTACCCCAAGTTACCTCCACATCTTCTTGCTGCTGGATTCTTTACTGAGCAGTCAGAGCTCACGGGGCAGGTGTTGCTAGCAAAGTAGCTCAATTCTAGCTGCCTTCCACATGTTCAACTAATTCATGGGGAATTCATCCATCCTTTCCTTTTTTTTGCATGTCATTTAAAAAATATATATTTTATTTATTTTTTACAGAGAGGAAGAGAGAGGGATAGAGAGTTAGAGACATCGATCAGCTGCCTCTTGCACACCCCCTACTGGGGATGTGCCCGCAGCCAGTGTACATGCCCTTGACCGGAATCGAACCTGGGACCTTTCAGTCCGCAGGTCGATGCTCTATCCACTGAGCCGAAACCGGTTTGGCTCATTTTTTTAAAAAATATATTTTATTAATTTTTTAGAGAGGAAGGGAGAGAGATAGAGAGCTAGAAACGTTGATGAGAGAGTAACATCAACCAGCTGCCTCTTGCACACCCCCTACCGGGGATGTGCCCGCAACCAAGGTATATGCCCTTGACCGGAATCGAACCCGGGACCTTTCAGTCCGCAGACCGACGCTCTACCACTGAGCCAAACCGGTTTCGGCTGGCTCATTTTTTTTCTTGAAATCTGAACATTAAAAATAATACAATGTGAGCTCTAGGAATCAGATTCTACCCTCTCCTCTGGGTTTGTTGTAGCTTCTGCTTATCACAGTCGTTATTGTTTGTTTAGTGACCTTTCTATACTAATTCTGTAAAGTTCATATTCTTATAGTTCCATTGAAGTCTCTACTTGGTTAGCTTTATGTTCAGCTAACGCTTGAACAGATATCTCCTTAAAAGCTTAGACCAACAACTCTCCCAGACTTTGCCACGGGCTATTTGTTAGTGCGCCACACAGCTAGATAGTTGACAAGTCAGCCTTAGCCTTCACTTCCTGCTTTGCAGACCCTCAAGATCTGAGAGAGGTAAGAGCTTTGGGCCTTTTCAGGTCTTTACTGCACTACTCATAGCCCTGTGCATGTGCATAGCTTTCTATTTTCAGGAGTATGTCAGAGCTTTCCAAAAACCCTTCGGATATCTCATTCACAAGTTGTACTCCTAAAATTTTATGTAACCTATCCTTTACCCCAACTGATAGTCCTTGTCTCAGTGAGCTGCTAAGTTAAAACACTTGCCTGTAATTGTTTTTAAGAAATGCTACTCCCTAACCCCCACACACCAAGCTGAAAGGTTTTTTTTTGCTGAGTAAGCTCTGAGTCAGGTCAAAAACCAAACTGCCTTGTAAGTGAGGCCATCCAGAGAACCACTAACAGTCACATAAGGCAGCTTCTGGGAATACAGCGTGGAAAGAACGCCAGATTCTGTTCTGCTCTGTCTGTGGCTGCCAGGCTGGGCCACGCATGTGGGCTGTCTTTGTTAAGGTGGCAAGCTTTGGTTAATTCAAAGAGATCTGAAACAGCTAACATCATTTTCATCAGTATTTCCTTTGCTTTATGGGGAAGCAAATTTTTGGAGCTGCTTACTCTGTCATTTTTGCTGATTTCGCTGACCTTACTTTATGAAGATACTTTTTAAAAATTATAAAACTTATAGGGAAATATGGAATAACAAACATTGACTAATGTGAATTACTTTACCAACAAAAAATTGGCAAATTTATTTTCTTATAAATAAGGATTTTTGTTGAGAGAGCAATGCTCACTCAGTTTTTTGGTTTTAATAATTGCTAGAAAAATTAAAATTCCTCTTAAGATCGGTGATTGTTAAATCTGTAGTGTTTTTTTTTTCTCTTCCTTTCACTCTTTCCCTCTACTATCTTCTTCAGTAAGTTCAAGGGAAAGAGGAAGTTCACTATCGTATATTTTTTTTGAGGAAAGTTATAAAAGTTTTATAACCGAGAACATCTAAATTAAATTATTACCCAAAATTTATACTTCATAAACATGATAACAATAATGGGGCGTTATTGATTACTAAAGACTCAACTTGCCTTTGTTAACAACATGTCTTATTTGATGGGCTAATGTGTTGTTTTTCTTTTTGGGTAGGCATATACTGTGAAGACGCCAACAAAACTAAAAACCCAGCCAAGAGAAAACAAGAATGCACCCACTGAAGAAAATAGTAAAAAGAGAAAAATGGTCTTTGAGTTTGATATTAATTCAGATAGTTCAGAATCTGCTGATCTTCTGGTAAACACATTGCAGATAATCAGTATTTATTATTTGTTTCCATTATTGTCTAATTTATTTCTTGATAAAGAACTATCATAATATTATTCATCAATACTAAAGACAGTAGAACTTTATTATTACAGAAACCTATGCTTTTACAGCATTTTGAAGCCATTAGGGCTCAAATAATGTCTCTAAAACTTAGAAAACATGGCATTTTGAAATACTTGATATAATATAGTTGCATTTGAAATAATTAATCATATTGTTTTCCAACAGTTTTATAAAGGAGCTTTTACTGCATTTTCTTTTTCTTTTAAAAAAGGAAAGGTTAGCCTGGCCAGTTTGGCTCAGTGGCTAGAGAGCATCAGCGTATGGACCAAAGGGTCCCATATTTGATTGTGGTCAAAGGCACGCACCTCGGTTGCAGGCTCCTCCCTGGCCCAGGTCCTGGTCGGAGCTCATGCAGGAGGCAACCCATCGATGTTTTTTCCTCAAACCGATGTTTCTGTCTTTTCCTCTCTCCTCCACTCTCTCTAAAAATCAATGGAAAAGTTCCTCAGCTGTAATTGACAAAAGGAAGAAAGGTTAGGCCCTGGCCTGTGTGGCCCAGTTGGTTGGAACATTGTCCCATACACCGAAAGGTTTCAGGTTCAATTCCTGGTCAGGTCATATACTTGTTTATGGGTTCCATCTTCAGCTGGGGTGCATATGGGAAGCAGCCATCAGTGGGTGGTACCCCTCTCCATTACGCTTCCTATCTTTCTAAAATCAATAATCAGGCCCTCGGGTGAGGATTAAAAAAAAATGGGTATTTTTAATATTGCTGCAGCCAAATTTTTTATTCATGTATTATTTTCATATGGTTAGTAATGAATGTCAGTTACTGTGCACTAAGTAGAGTTTTAATGATAGTTTACAAAATATTTTCAAAATGATTTCTCTTTTTCAAGCTGATCAGTTGGTGCATACTGGGTCTGAACATATCCAAATAGATAATTCTTTATGACTTTGAATTCTGCTAAAATCTTAGGATTCATGAAAATGTGAATGTTTTTCTTCCATGAAGCCTCTGAAGTTTTTGTTAAGTGTGACTTTAATGAGCAGGAAAAGATAATTTGAACTCATTGCTTACCTGACTAAATTTGTGTAGCTTATTCACTAAGAAGGATTCTGCCTGGCGGGTGTGGCTCAGTGGTTGAGCATTGCCTTAGGAACCAGGAAGTTATGGTTTGATTCCCAGTCAGGACACATTCCTGGGGTGCAGACTTGAGCCCCAGTAGGGGGCATGTGGGAGGCAGCCAATCAATGGTTCTCATCATTGATATTTCTGTCTCTCTCCCTCTCCCAAGTGCTCTGAAGTCAATATCTCTATCCCTATCTATCTATCTATATGATTTTGGAGCTAGCCTACCTGGATTTAAATCCTGGTTCCATCCCTAACTAGCTGTATAATCTTGTGCAAGTTACTTAATGTTTGTGTCTCAGTTCCTCTCCTATTTAAAACGAGGATAATAGTATATCTACTTCACAAAATTGTATTAAAACTAAAATATGCAAAGTGCTTAAAACAATATCTGACATAAAGAAAGTACTAAATAAGTGTTACCTAGTATTATTTGGAAGGATTACAATACTCATAAATTGATAACTGATATTTTAATTTTTATGTGATTATAAATGCTTCTTATATAGGACTTAAGTGTGAGTTGTGTAAGTAGGCTGGGGGGAAAGAGGAGGAAAAAGTGGTAACAAAAAGACTCTGAAACTGAAATAGAAGTTAGAAAAATACTATTCACAAGCACTTGTATTTTATATAACCTTTCAGGAATATAGTTAATAGGATAAAAATCTAGGTCTTTGGCAGAATGAGGCTATTTTATCATAGTCGTCTTTTTTGGCTCTTTTTTCTTTGTCTTCTCTCTCCCCTATTTTCTTTCTTCCCCCCTCATCCTTCACTTTCCCCTCCTCCTCCTCTTGATACATGGTATATAGACAAAAATGTAATAATGTAATATTTATGATGGCAATACCCAATTTATATTGTTGTATTTTTCTTTAAGACCATGGTTTCAGAGGAAGAGAAATTGAAAAATCTATGCAAGAATAATTATCCAACAACTTCTCATTTTTGTGTCAGAACACCAAAAAAGGTAACTTGCAAATTTATTTCAGAAAGCAAATTTCAAAAGCTGGATTTTAATTTTTTAATTAAACATATTATGATTTTATTTTGAATTCAGACCCCTTCATCTCTAACAGCCCTTGGATCTGCGCCGAAGTTTGGAGCTATGAGGAAGATGCAGGATGACCGCTGGGCTATGATTGCCAAAGTGGATAGGAGAAAAAAGCTAAAGGAAGCAGGAAGACTATTTGTTTAATTTCAGAAAATCTGTGTGATTAAGGATGCTAATAACAAAATTTATAGTTAACTTTCCCCCCCCCCTAGACTTTTTCTGTAACTGAGGTTTTTAATGTCTGCATACATTATTTGTTTTTAATGTTTGCATACATTGTTTCTTTATATTTTGGTATAAATGTGAAATAACTACATGTTATATGAAAAATTATATTCAGGTAATTAGATGATTTTATTTTGTTTTTACCTTTATTTGTTATTCATGAAAACTGTTTTGGCTAAGTTTTTAAATTATAAAGTTAGCCATTGAATGCTAGGATTAGACAATTGAGATTTACTTTTAATTCTTTACTATTAAAATATTTTGCATGCAAATAAATGCTTCTCCTTGATTCCGTATATAGCAAAGCTACTCACTAACAATTATCTATATCGTTTAAGAAAAAATTTGAAAGGAGTTTAATAATGGCAGATTATTCTAATGTGACTGGACAGATAATTCAGACTTCAGATGGATAAACTGATTTTTTAAAAAGTATCTGTTGCACAAGATTTTAGAATTTCACGGAAGTTGAACATTCTGCCAAGAGACAGAAAAGAAGACTGATAAAATAGCCTCAATCTTGTAAGCATCACACTCTTGGAGGACGGTAAAATATTCTTAAGTCTGATTCATAGACAGCTACTCATTAAAATTTTGATAATATTCATTTTTAAAAGCTAGAGCCCATTTTATCCAAAGTTTACAGTTCTGAAGCAGCTTTCCCTGGTTTATAAAATAGACATTTTTTTTTAGTTGCTGAAAAACGGCTATACCAGTATGACTTCCTAAATTACTTCACTTATCCAACATTTATTGTTGAATATTTATGGAGTGTCTGCCTATAAAGATGAAGCATAATTCTAGATGCTGGGATACAATCATGAGCAAAACAAAATAAAACCTCTGCTCTTCCAGAGCTTACATTTTAGTGAGGGAAATGGACAATAAACAGAATAAATAAATGAAACATTCAGTGTATTAGTTAATGGTAATTGCTAAGGAGGAATAAGGGCAGAGGAAGTATGAGGGAGCATTAAAGGGGTTGACATTTTATGCAGGGTGGCCCTCACTAAAATGACAATTGAATGACATGTCTGTGGCCGTCTGGGGAAAAATATTTTTGGCAAAAGAAACCGGAAATACTGTGCCTAAAATATCTGGGAAGCAGGAAGGAGGCCACTGGAGGACAGTGTGGAAAAGGGAGGGTAGCAGGAGAAAAGGCTTGGTAATTAACAGGATGGGCGTGCAGATTATGTAGTGCTTGTAAGCTCTTTAAAAGCTTTGGCTTTCCTCTGAAGAAGATGTGAAATTACTAGACTTTTTTTGAGCAAAGGAGCCATTCTTACTCCTGTTTTAGCATATGGATCTTTCTGACCACTATATTGAAAACATGAAAAGGAGACAAAGACTAAAACAGAAAACAGATTTAATAATACATAGGAGGGTAAGTAAGTGACTTGAGCAAGGGTGACAGAGCAGGGGAGCAAAGTGGTCAACTTGTAGATTTATTTAGAAAATTAGTTGTGGGATGTGCTAAGAAAGAGAAGGGATCAAGGATAGCGTCCATTAGTTTTGGACATATTAAGTTTGAAATGCCTATTGGACATCCAAATAGAGATGATAAGTTGGTTTAGAGACAATTCCAGGCTAATGGGGTAAATTTGGGAGCCAACAGTATGTTTAAAATTACTGGAGTAGTTCAGGTGAGAGATGGGAAGATTTCTTAGACTGAAAGTTTAAGTTTGAAACTTTTAGGTTAGATCTAATACCTGTCCTAAGAAAAACATCCATAACGTTATCATTCTACTAAAATGTCTCCTTCTTCATGTAAATGTAAAAATCAATGATGTCAAAGAGCAAGTTGCTTTGGTTGATATAAAGGTTAGAAATAAATTATTCATAATTCAGGCAACCTGAATTGAGTATAATTAATAGTCCACAGGCATTAGTAGTACATCGAGAACTTTAATCAGGGCAGGTCAACTGTGGGTTAGAAATAGGAAATGACAAACAGGAGACAGATAAGACAACATTATTTAAGTCATGAAATCAGAGTTCAGAGTTGGAGGTAACTGAAAAGATAACTTCATTTAAACATCAGTAATTTGAGGCCTATAAAAGCAATAAAGGGAGAAGTCAGTTTCTAAAAATGACTTAAATTCCATAGAATGTACATAATTTATACCGATACATAATGTGATCATCTAAAATCTTAGTGCCCTCCCCCCCCCCTTTTTTGCTTTCTCCCTTATCTACTCTCTTCTCTCCACCAAATTCCCCTCTCCTATTAACCTTTGAGAAGAACAGAGAAGGTATCCTTTTCCCCCTCCAGGGTAGGTTGCTGATAGATATAATGTATTTAATTAGTTGTATTTTTACATATGCGAGCATGAGTTTATTAGGTATATAGTGGGATCTTTTTAATTTTTATTTCTCTGCTGACATATGCTGTGGAATGCCTTTTCATATGCTTATTTACCATCTATATGTCGTCTTTGGTGAGGCATCTCTTCAGCCTTTTGTCCATTCTTTTTAATATTTTTTTTTATTGATTTCAGAGAGGAAGAGAGAGGGAGAGATAGAAGCATCAATGATGAGAGAGAATCAGATTGTCTGCCTCCTGTATGCCCCCTATCTGGGGATCGAGCCCGCAACCCTGGGCACGTGCCCTTGACTGGAATCGAACCTGGGATCCTCTGGTCAACAGGCCGATGCTCTACCCACTGAGCCAAACCAGCGAGGGCCTTTTGTCCATTCTTTAATCAGGTCATTAAGTTTTAAGAGTTCTTTGTATATTTTGGATAACAATTCTTATCTGATATGTCTTTTACAAATATTTTCTCCAGTCTGTGTCTTCTCATTCTTTTGACATGATGGGACTTTTAGCTGTACTTTCATTTCTAGTGGTGGTTCTAGGGTTTGCCATATACATCTTTATTTGTCATAGTTTACCTTAAATACCATTATGGCACTTCAGATATAGTATAAGAACCATACAGAAATATATTTCTATTTCCCATTTCTGTTCTTTCTTGACATACAATTTACTTGTTAACATAAAGTTTACTTCTACATGTTATAAGTCCCACAATACATTGTTATTTTTGCTTTAAGCTGTCAATTGTCATTGTTTCATAGTTAGGTGAAATTCATTATAATTATGCACTTTAAAGCAAACATTTTTCTGGTGTTTAATATGTTCACAATGTTGTGCAAACATTACCTTTATCTAGTTTCAAATAATTTTCCTCATCCCCAAGGAAGCCCTGTGCTCATTCAGTTGTTTTTTTCCTATTTCCTACTTCCTCCAGTCTCTGATAAACCAATAGTCTGCCTTCAAAGACCATGGCCTTACCTATTCTGTGTATTTCAAATTAGTGGAGACTATACATGATCTTTTTGTTTTTTTAATCATCGCCCAAGGATATTTTTCATTGATGTTTTAGAGAGAGTGGGAGAGAAAGGGAAGGCAGAAATATCCATGTGAGAGAAACATATCAATTGCTTGCCTCCTTGCATGAGCCCCAATCAGAGCGTGGGCCGGAGGGGGGTCTGCAACCGAAGTACATGCCCTTGACTGGGAATTGAACCCGGGACCCTTCAGTCCCCAGGCCACTGCTCTATCCACTGAGCAAACCAACTAGGGATATTCACGGTCTTTTGATCATTTGTGTTTTTTAACACACATAGCGAAGGACGTTAACTCCATTACTAGTATTAGTTTATGATTTCTTGGCTTCCACAGATTAATTTACTAACAGAATTCTCTATTGATTCTTACATATAACAATATGGTGATTCTTTTAAAGTAAAAGGTGTACTAAACAAAGATAAGAAAAGTTAAAATAATTTTTGGTGAGATTAATAACATTGTTGATTAGTTGCTGAGAAATGGTTACACGTGTTATTGTGAGTACAGTTAATACTGCTCATATTATTCAGCCAGAGAAATAATATCTAATTACCAAGAGGTTATATAAAGTAACAAAAATAGAGTGAATGATACACTAAGGGATAGAGAAGTTAGTTTTGATATACAGGAAGGAATACTTGATACTGATCTTTTATAACACCATGAGTTTTATTACAGAATATGTTAGCAATTCCTATTAACATTTATATATGATCCTAACTTAAAAGTGTTTTGAAATGAAGAAAGCTTTTGTAAATTCATATGAATGTGGCGTATTGGGGGTTTTAACATATTATCAAGAGAGAGAAGTAAATTGACATAATTTTTATACATACTAAATTAGTTTTGTCTCTCCACTTGAGAGCTTCAAGATAATACAATGATTAATATGCACATTAGGTCCAACTCTACTTACTATCAATTATCTGTATTGTTTAAGAAAAATTGAAAGGAGTTTAATAGATTTTGTTTCACATGGCAGATTTTTCTAATGTGACTCCTACAGATAATTCAGACTTCAGATGGATAAACTGATTTTTTTTAAAAAGTATCTGTTGCACAAGATTTTAGAATTTCACAGAAGTAGAGCATCTTGCAAGCTACCACACTCTTTGAAAGAGGCTAAATATTAATAAGTCTCATTCATAGCCAATGCCATTCCTCTGTTGAGCTAATTGAATATTAAGGCTTTATTTCCTTTTGAAAATGAGTTACAATTTTAATGCAATAAAAGGTCATCAGGAAACTTTGATTTCAGTATGGCTTTGTTGTAACTATCTATAGAACATTAGAACAGTTAATAAGGCCTCTTTGTATCTAATTATAAACTCTGGGAATAGCACCTGCATTTCTACTTATTTATGCATTTGATAAGTATTGATTGAACATCGAGTATGTGAAAGAGTCTTTTACCAAGACCGGTAATTACGCCTCTCCATTTATGATGCCTACATTCTAGTTGGAAGGGAAGAAACAGAATAAACATGTAAACAAATAATATAATATTAGAAAGTTATAAGTGCTGTGAAAAAAAGAATGAAATAGTGGGATAAAAAGTGACAGGGGG